AGCCAGCACAAAAATATTTTGAATATTTTGAATTTTTTGAATTTCAAAATATTCAAAAAATTTAGCCAATACAAAAATAGTTTGAATATTTTGAGTTTTTTGAATTTCAAAATATTCAAAATATTCAAAAAATTTAGCCAATACAAAAATATTTTGAATATTTTGAATTTTTTGAATTTCAAAAATTTCAAATTATTCAAAAAATTTTGCCAATACAAAAATATTTTGAATATTTTGAATTTTTTGAATTTCAAAATATTCAAAATATTCAAAATATTCAAAAATAAATAAAATGAACTTCTCCCAAAAGTCTCTCTGAACCTCTTTATTGGTGATTTCATTATTTTTTAAATATTTTGAATATTTTGAATTTTTGGAATTTCAAAATATTCAAAATATTCAAAAAATTTAGCCAATACAAAAATATTTTGAATATTTTGAATTTTTTGAATTTCAAAATATTCAAAATATTCAAAAAATTTAGCCAATACAAAAATATTTTGAATATTTTGAATTTTTTGAATTTCAAAATATTCAAAATATAATGAACTTCTCCTAAAAGCCTCTCTGAACCTCTTTTTTGGTGATTTCAATTTTTTTTTGAATATGAAATGGAATCAAATAGTCAACGGTCAAATAGTACATGAAGGTCCATCGTACATATATATATATACATATACATATACATATACATACATATATTCATATATGTCTTTAAACCTTGGTTAGTGACACCAAGACCATGACACTTTTCCCGGAAGCGCGTTTCCAAACATGGAGCTGAGCGAAAAGAGTAAGCCTGGTACCCGGCTGATACCCAAGTCATAGCTGGTGGTTCATGGATGTTTGTTCCCCCATGGGAACAATAGGTTTTAACCCATCCCGATATGATGAATGGATCAAGCTGTTGGCATATGACATAATAAATTCATAGGTCACCATTGACTTTTGACCCATCTATGATAGACATTGATGGAGTCCCCATTTATTCCATCACCGTTTGTGACTTGTTTTCTTAATCTTATGTTTATCTTTATGATAAAGGTAAATAATGGTGGTAAATGATACCAACCACCGTGGTGGTAAATGTCCGAATTATTTATTTCTACATCACATCGGTGATTTCTGAGAACGGAATTGTCATCTGCAACAGTTATCATCCCCCAAACGCCTGACTGCCCGCTACCAGGACAGTTATGTGTGTGTGTATGTCTCACTCCCCTTTAAATGCTGCATCTTTGAGTGTGAGCTATGAGAAATGCTCCAAAATTTGCTAGAAAACATAAATGTTGCACATTAATGTTGCACATTGCCATTCCCATTACCAAGCCGCGTCTTGTAGGGTTATCTCCAATAGACAACCATCTTTAACGTGTGTGTGCCTCTGCCAGTGCTGCTTGTCAGCAGCTCAGAAACCCAGGGGTTCTCCAACTGCATCGTGCATTTCTCGTGGTGATTCACGTGGTGACATCAAGTCATTGAAAGCAAAAGAATGAAAATCATTGGCAATAGTGTCCTTTTGGTAAAAATAGAAGGGCCAGTTTGGTTAATCCCATCTATCATCATAGAAACCTGTTGTTAATCAACCAACCAATGGGAAAAGGACATCTATGGTCATTGGTCCTCAGACTCCTTTCTTGAAACCTCTCGGCATGCCTCACTTGATACGTTGCAAAACCTTTCCAGCTTGGATTGCTCGATGTAAGGTGCAATCATGACAAAATTGACGTGCGCGGCCCCAAGAAACATCCAGCTTCTCGCACAGTAAATTGCTCGACAGCATTTGCATGTGCCATCCTGCTTCCGATCTGCATCACTATCATCACTATCTGGATAGATCTGATAAACATTGGATGAAGATAGTGATCTTCACATATCTTCACTATCTGATGTTGGAACATCACTATCTGACATGGAAGTCACCGCTACTCCATGGAATTCGATGAATTCTGCGGCACGTCCTAAAGACGTTCCCGAGCCTTCGGCATCCTTCGGCCATTGTGGCGCAGTCGTCAACCTCAGAGTGGAAGCGATGCAAAGCCCAAGATGTAAAGCCACAAGATGGGGGAATGAGTACTGATAGTACTGTAGCATGATATGATGTGATATGATGTGATATGATGTGATATGATGTGATCGTGTTTTAGCTCAGAAAGCAGGCAGCCACAACTAGGCAGATCCTTTCGAGCCAGAAATCGCCATAGAAATTCTCCAGAAATTCTGCCAATGCTGGCGTGCAACAAGCGACGTCAGTGTGCAGCCATGTACTCCGCAAAGGATACATATCGCGGGTGCCAGCCTGCGAGCCGAAGACTTCGAAACCGATTTCCGAGTTCAGCATTGGAAGCAACGAATCATTAATGGAAGGTTCACACCATTTAATGATTTGTTTAATGGTGTGAACAACAAATCATTAAAAAAAACAAAGTTGCGCGGGTTGCACCATTCAACGGCACCGCAGGCGCAGCCGCACCTAGTTGCTGCCGTGCCTTGCTTGCATCCAATCGCTTCCCATTCGTTCCACCCATTGGCAGTTCAGCAGGAGCCTGGCGTATTTTCACTCATCTTCCAACCTATCTGCCAGGCTCTATGTATATTATTGTATGGCTATGGATCAATACCTATGAAAATACCATTTTTAGTGGGATGAACATCCATTTACATTTACCAGCTATTTTTATGTGAACAGAAGGGGTACTATTGGTTTTGACACACTGCCGTATGTCTGTGTTGATTTACTGGGAAACATCATCCCATCATCCACGCCTCAAAGGTGGGCAGCTCCTTTCCAGCAAAGTGCTTGGACCTCACCGCTGCCGCGCAGATGTCGCGGCGGCTGATGGGGACACCATCGGAGATGACATAGACCTGGAAAATCAGGCGATTTTCTGTTGAGACTTCTGTCTGACATGTTGAAAATCTTCTGAAGTCAAGTTGTTTTCCGCTTTGGACTGATCCAAACCCTGTTTCGCATCACTTTTGTCAGTACCTTCACTAAGACAAGTTGTTTTGTAGTCTTTTTGTTCCAGATCGGAATGCGCAGGACTTTCTTCGCGCCATCTCTGGTCCTACATATGTTAGCATCCACAAGTTCCAATCCCTTCCCCAAGTCCTAGGTGCTTCATCCGATTTCATATGGGCCATGTCGAAATCAGCCATGTCGATTTCACAAGTGCCATGTGAAAGGTAGGACATGTGAGAACCACAACGAGGTCTCGATTTGGACCTGGTGAAATACCTGGGTATTTCACATACGCAACACGCAGCGTGCACCTCTCGTCTTCTGGCTTTAATCGCATCGACAACTGCTTGCGCAGCGTCATCCTTAAAAAAGCCGTAGGCTCGATACTGATTCGGACATTTCACCGGAATCTTTTTGTGTCACTGGACCTCATGTCCACTGATGATCAGCTCAGAATACATCAAAAATATATCAAAATAGATCAAATATATACATATATATCAAAATAAATCAAAAATAGTTGCAAATCTGGATTTCTGTCTCAACTTTGACCTGAGCTCATCGCATAGTGAACCAAGTTGATGAGACCATTAGGCGCGCCTTTCCTTGGAGACAACTTGGACAACTTGCCACTAAATCACCAGAAAAATTGAAGCAACTTCCACTACTTGTACTGGTTGATTGTAATACACTTATACTCTCTTATAATCACTTGTAATCACTGATAATCACTGATAATCACTTACACATAGTTCTCCCCCAATTGTAAATTCTAGTTATCTGCAATGAACCAGCATCACCCCGAGACCCCCCTTCATCAACACACGGGATTTCGCGATCAGTGTCTATCTGAGTTATCAAGCCCTTACCCTATGTATGTACATATATAGAAAAGTATGGGTATATATATATACACATCCAGACATGTGTGTCATGTGTGTGTGTGTGTCTGACTCTGTGTGTGTATGTCTGTATGCGTATGTATGTCTGTACGTGTATATATATATATAGTTATTTATTTATTTATTATTATTACTATTATTATTATTGTTATTCTTAATGTTATTATTGTTATTATTATTATTATTATATAATGCAGTGCCGTGCAATGCCATGCCATGCAATGCAACGAATGTCCATGCATACGCCCCGTATGTATAAAGCTGGCAGTTGGCATCTGCTAAATGGAACGTACAACTCTCTCCCAATGAAACGTCGAGTATCACCACACCCACTTTCAGCCAGTAGCTATGAGGACCTCTTTCGAGATCGTAGAGCCCGGCCAGTCTCACAGTTTGAGGCCAGATTTTTGTCTGGGGTGTGCGGAAGCACGTGGAGAGATTGAAAAATCTCATGGCAAGTAATTCGTGAATCTGCACGGACTCAAAATGAATTGAGCTGCACTACAAAAATGTATCTTTCAGCACGGAGTCAACGCTCGAAAACCGCAGAATTCCCAGACATGATTTTCAGAGGATCTCTTCGTCGGAATCTACGCTGCATTCACTGTTTTTCTCGTTGTGTTTACTGCGGTAACAAGGCAGCAAAAAAAACACTTTTTGCACCAACCAATTTCAAAACATGTTGATCAAGGTGCTACACTAACCAGCTGCACTGGTTTTTGCACAAGCTGCGGAAAAAATGCGCGCCTGTTTTTACACAAGCTTTACAAAAACTAGTTTTTACACCAACTACACCTTGTACACAAACTAGCTTTTGCACAATCTAGCTTTTACAAACACCAACTTTTACACCACCTAGTCTTCACAAAACCTTGTTTTACACCAACAAGCTTTTACACAATCTATATAGCTTTTACACAAACCAGCTTTTGCACAGACTAGCTGCGACTAGCTTTTACAACTAGCTTTTACGCAAACTAGCTCTTGCATAACCCAGTTTTATACAAACTAGCTTTAACACAATGTCGCTTTTATGCCAACCGGCTTTGCTTGGCCCACATCCATTTAGCCACTAGGCCAGAGGCCGTGGAATGGACGACGGCTTATAAATATTTATAAATAATTTACCATTTAGTTCGAGGATGCTCCCATTACAGTCCTTTATAGAGGATTTCCCATACATCCCTGTTTGATTACAAGAGGCTAATCAAGATGATCATGCGCGTTCGGGTCAAAACATGGAAAAAAAGCGGAAATCTGGTCCCATACTCGGAATCCAAACACTTCAATACATTTCATGGATCTCTAAATCTCTCAGGGTCTGACTTTAGTAACTTTAGTATCTACCGGTGATTTCACATATGGCAAATCCCTGAGAAAATCCCTGAGAAAACATTCAAAAAACCCACGCCCCACCATGGAAAGTGCGCCTCAAAACAGCGCTACCACCTCGCTGTGCAGCCTCCTCAGCAGCCAACATCCGTTGCGCGCTGCCACTGTCGGAAAGTGCGCCGGACTCGTCCACAGAGTTGCCAGAGTCCTCCGGAAAAATCCGTGGTCGGAAACGAAAAATCCGATTGAAATATTATTAGAATGATGTGAAATTGATGGTGATATAGTTATATAAACATCGCAAATATATTAGAATCATTTAGAATGATACAGACAACCGAGGTCAAGTAAAGAGTTGTATGTATGAAGTACGTACCACAAATGCAGGTAGAACCTACCCAATCTATCCCAATCTCCAATCTCGAATGACATAAAATTGATGGTTAAACATCATTGTTGATGGTTTTTTTTCGCCATTTCTGGGATGTCGGCTTGTCTGAAAATCCTGGGAAGACCACTAGCTGATCATCAGGGTGATGGCCTTTCAGGAGTGTCCCCCATTTCCAGACGTGGGACATACCACAGATATTGGACTCACACGATACATTCACTGTGTCGGTGAAGCTCCAATCTTCACATATCTTCAAAATCACCAGAATCACCAGCAATTAGCAATTGATAAGTGCTTCTTATCAAATTCAGTGGTTTTTGATGGTTTTTGGGGGCCCAAAAAGCTGCTAGCTTCCACCAGTTCCATCTTGTTCCAACGTTTTCCAACGTGTTCAGTGCCTCCGCGAAGACGCTAGCGGAGGAGGTGAACACGCCAATCCCCCCCTCAACCAGATGCTCCAGGGCGTCTGTGACTGACTTCGCATAGTCACCGGCCTCACCCCTGCGTCGCGTCAGCCGAAGGACGTTTAAAAATGCAGCCGATTTGGAGGGCAAAGGATAGCTACATTGGTATCCACATTGTTTTTTTACATGTAAAAAAACATCGAGTTTCCACTTGCCGAGATCATCCCTGGATACCGTGCACGCGGCTACGGGTCCCCACAACATGAGCCACATCTTGCAGAGTCCGCAGCCGGGAATTCTTCCTTGATCATTTTTTTAATGACAGGTCCGAACAAAAGAAATGAATCATGTAACATTCTGAAGCATTCTGAATTTATGAAAGTTGATGAATATCCTCCCATTTGTAACGTTCCCGAAACATCCCGAAGCCCTTTTTTCGGGTTCCTCCCGTTCGCTGTTTTCCGAGATCTCACAGCGGCGCAGGCCTACTGGGAGGCGCACAAAACACCACCTGAAACGAGTTGGCGGAAAACGCGGAGTCCGACACGTTGAATCACTAACTACCAGCAACATCCAGCAACCATACTTTCATTGGATTGGTTTGTGGGAAAATTTACAGGAAAGCCCCATATTTAATGGTAAAAACCATGGTTTCCTGTAGATTTTCCCTTAAACCAATCCAATGATACTTATGTTCCAATGTCGATTCTACGGACATAGCAGAATCACACACTTGCATAGACAAGGGGAAAGCATGGAAAGCACACAGGATCCAGGCACCAGCCGTTTTGGCTGCACTCCGCTGGGGGACCAGGTGTGATCCGAGCCCTCCCCACCTGCGAAAACTTCAGCTTTGAAGCCTTCCTTGGCCGTGGCTCCAAAACCGTTACATTGGTTCATCTGCTTACTCTGTGTGGCCAACATCCCACAAAATAATGCAAGCCTTCAGCAGTCGAATCTCTGGTACACCACATGGATTTGTCAAGACTCCCCTCACAACCTTGCTACCACCAGCAATGCCGCGGTCAAAACATTGTGTATGGAGTGTGTATGGTTTATGGTCATCCGATGGTATAGCTGACTGTGTGTGCAAATTCATTGATTCTTCCCATCTCCCAACATGGGTATAAAATCCAGTTTTATATAATTTGACCATGGATAATGGGTATATGGTCAACATATATATATATAACATATACATATACCATATATATATACCATATACATATACCATATAATATATATATACCATATATATACCATATAATATATATATACCATATATATACCATACATATATACCTGTGACCATAGCATATCTGTGAAATGTATTGAAATGTCTTCCAAGTGACAAGTCTGATGCCAAGATGGGATCAAGTCCTTCTTGGCGCAGCGCTTCATGGGACTTCTCAGTCAGGGTGGCGGCTACCACCTGCGATTTCTGGCTCGGGAAGATCAGAATTACTTCAATTGATCATTTCCTACAAGATGATACCATTTAACGACAATGATCATTCTTGTAATACCTTCGAATCATACGCGTGTATCATACAAATGCAAATCTCTATATATATATACTTGAAAAGCACCAGCAAGTTGCTCTGGGATCCCTCCGATGGGCCTTTCATCCACATATCATAGATATATCATAGATATTAGTATTTCCTAAGATGGAGGGTACCTCTAAATCATCCATGGATTCATAGGATTTTCCATTAAATAAACCCTCCAGAACTCCCATATCGAAAAGACTGGTGGTCAACCAGTGGTCCAATGTCTGCCTTCGCCTTGGGCCCCTTGGGCTTCTCTCGCCAGAGCTGCGCAACCCGGCGACCCAAATATCCAGCGCCCACAATCAAAAGGTCCTCCAGCTGCCGTCATTGAGTCATTAGGAGGATATGTATGTATATATATATGGTGTTGTATATATATATATATATATGGTATATGTATATGTTATATATATATGTTGACCATATACCCATTATCCATATGTTGATTGGCAAATCGAAATCATTGATTCCGGAAGTATAAGTGGCTATGAATAGTTTCAAGGATATTCCAAGATTCATGAAAATTTGCCCAGATGGAATAAGTGGGAATTCTGGAAACCCTTGAAACTTCAAACCACTGGGTCTAGCTTCTGTGATCCAAAACCTTGTACCTTGCTCTGCAGATGTTCATGAAAAATGTTCTCGAAAAGTCCAAACAGAAAAGTCGCAGCTAACGAAATTTGAATCGCCACTGGGCACAGCCAGCCGAGTCAGTGAAAGATGTCTTTGGGTGAGGCCATCCCTTTCGCGAAATTTTCGTGGTAGTTGTTTCTTTCGCGGCATCCGTGTGTCTGCAATTTACTTTCGCGAGCTTTCGCGGAACTCCTGACAAGAAACATGGTTTTTCTCATGTGTAACACATCATGTGTATTGAAATGCCAAAAAAACAAGCCTCTGTTGCCAAGCATTTTGCAACGCAGTTTTTTTTTGGAGTTACGGACCACATGGTAACATATGTATTTTTCACATGTTCGTCACCAGGGGGATGTACTTGGCCTTCCATGGATTTTCATCTGCCCATCTGGATGCCAGAAACATCCTGAAAAGGTAACCATTTTTACGTCCGAGAAGATACAACTGGATCCATGGTTTTGAGACGTGTCGACGTGTCGAAGCCATCTTGGAAATTTGCTTCGCATTTCCTCAACATCTCGTAGAAGCCAGTCGCAGAAGCAAATCTTGGCAACATATATATATATATAGGACTCAAGCACTTCTTTTCCGTTGTGCTAGACCCGATGGGTTTCAAATCCAAACTGGCTTAGCCAGCACTTCATTGACATTTTCAAATTCTCAAAGACCAAATGGCATGGTCTATTGTTATGGACAGCTGCGATTTCTCAAATGGCATGAGAAAATCAACAGCTAAAGACCGCCTTAGGACCCCAAGTGGCATGAGGTCTCTTTAGGACGGCTTTCACATGTATTTCACAGAAAAAGTTAAAGAAGGAAATGGAAATTGATCAGCAAGAATTGGAAAATGATCCCCCTTTCCGGGGGGGAGAGGTTGGGAAAGCTAAGAGCCTGGACAGCCCAACATGACGAAAAAGTGTCTCGTCCTAAATGTCGTGACGACTTTCAAGGACTCAAGCACTTCTTTTCCGTTGTGCTAGACCCGATGGGTTTCAAATCCAAACTGGCTTAGCCAGCACTTCATTGACATTTTCAAATTCTCAAAGACCAAATGGCATGGTCTATTGTTATGGACAGCTGCGATTTCTCAAATGGCATGAGAAAATCAACAGCTAAAGACCGCCTTAGGACCCCAAGTGGCATGAGGTCTCTTTAGGACGGCTTTCACATGTATTTCACAGAAAAAGTTAAAGAAGGAAATGGAAATTGATCAGCAAGAATTGGAAAATGATCCCCCTTTCCACGCCTCCAGTCATGGCCTAAAGGCCGTAGCTGGACATTGTTCAGCATATTTTTGAAGGCGTAATTTGTCATTGTCAGGCACTCTCAATTGGGGGACCTGTGCCAATCCATCTTCAAGATACAATCTTGCCACTCCCAGCGAGCGCCAACGCCCTCGCAGGAGAATGACATCGATTGGCGTTCCTTCTTGCAAAAGGAACGTCGCGCCTCCGCGACGCAAGCTGTAAGGTTTCATTTTCAAATGTTGAATCCTGAAATATCGCATGTAATTTTCAAATTGATTTCGAAAATGCTGAGCTGAATAAGGCCAAAGTTTTTGACCTCTGAATTGACATTGCAAACACACCAAAGTGTTCAAAATATTGAGAACAAAACTGTCACGAATTGAAACCGCTTCCTCTGTGCCCGTTCTCAAGCCAGACTTACTGCTCATCAAAGTAATAATACCTACAGAAGAAGAAAGTTCAAGATCTTTGTATTGAATTTCCATAAGCTCCCCTGTACGTAACATACAGTGAAAACCAATTGAAAAAAGTGCGGCAAAAGCAATATCCTTCAGTTCAACGGCCCTGGCGATAACAGCTTTAGCCAGAAGTAGAGTCATAGGTGGTGCTCTTTGCGGTGACTCTATACGTCGCCACGCTCGAAACATCTTCCAAGCTTGGCGGAGGATTCCTTTGATCTCTGGCCAGAAAAAATGCAAACCACTCAGACAGTCGGCGATTGAATTGACAGCTTCGCCTTTGCTCCATTCGAGCTCGATCCAATCGCAAACTACTCCATCCAAATCATGTAAAGAATCATGTGATTCCAAAAATGGGAGGATTCTCCCCACTGCAACTTCATATCTTGACTTTGTCTTTGCTGTGACTGTAAAGTCTCGTAGACGTACCCCAGCTCTTTGCTGCTTTCTACCAGCTCTAGTTCTTGCTGCCAGCACAACCCTCGGAATGGTGCGCGGCATCAAAGTCTGCTTCCCTTGTCAGTGGGGTTCTCTGCTGACCCCACGTGTGCATGGAGTAAAAAGGATCCCATTGCTAATTGAATTGCCCCAATCCGGTTCGCTAACGGCTGCAGGAGGTGGCTGCTAGTGCGACCTTTAGTTAATATATATAAACATACCATGCTGTCCTCAAGATGGAGCCATCTTTTCCTGATAGAAGTAATAGATCTGGATTTCCAAAGAAGAGTGTTAAGAACCATCTTCATCTCCAGGTAATTGATGTGTGATGTTTGGGACCATTTAACCGTAAAAAGTTGTTTCCATTGCCACCACATTGCTTTAACAGATGCATGAGCTTGCGACTTTTGATTCAGTAAAGCCCCCGAGATTATCCTTACATCGGACCCTGTATGATTGACTGTAAGTCCCAGGTGCTGGACGATCTCAACGTCCTGAACTGGCTTGTCCACGTCGCCACCGTAACACAACCACCGCGTCAGCGGAACTTCCACCGACGGGTGAACTGTTGCCCCAGAGGCTAGTCCTAGTCTTCCAGCTATTTTGTCAGGGGTCATCCGAGGAACATACGCTTGCGCCATTGAGCTGGCAACAATTGCAAACGAAAACACTGAAAAAGAATCACCTACCAAGGAACAACGCACATCTTCCAAAAACCGCTTGCTTTTCTTTGCCTCTGAGGCGCTCATGCATGAAAGTGTATGACCAGGACCAAACCCCATAAGTAACTCCCGTTCAGAACTATCCAAGACTCTTGGGGGGAGAGATGCATGATGAAGTAGAAAAGCAGATTTGTATTGATATGGGGGGTACCTGTATTCATCTGAGCGCCATCGCGACTGAGTTGCTTCGTCTGTCCTGGTCAAGCCTGCTGGCTTGGGAGGTGGTGCAGACCTTTTGATACATTTCATGAAAGTTGGAAATTTAACATTTGGGCCACCTTCCCAGGTCCACCCTGGGCGAATCCATTGCTTGGTGTCAATCTCCCTGCTGGTGGTGTAGGCTCTGAAATAATCCTTTTCCGACCACAGCTGTAAGCCCTCCATCTCAAAAATAGGCTCCGACACCCAGGCAAAACGTGGTCTATTGTAAGGCAAACTATCACTAGGATCCAGTTTGACAGGGCAAATCCCCAGCTGGGAGGAGATTTCATCTCTAGCTGACTCATCCATCGACGCCACATTTTCAATGCAGAACTTTACCTTACAAAACGGGCTAAAAACTTGCTGGACCCACTGTAGCACCTCTAAAAGCTTCCAAAACAACTTTGAGCCTTCGCCCTCCAATTTTTTTCGAAAGGCGCGTGCCGAAGACAAATGCACGCATGGAAAACCAGCGAAAAGATGAAGTTCCTCCACATGTGGCCACAGTGAAGCCCATCGTTGTACCTCAGCGTGATCAATCTTTTCGATATCCAAAAGTTCCATTGTACCAGGCCAGGCAGTGCGCGTAACCCTGTTCGCATGCTTGCAGATTTCCACTGAAATGCGCCCTTCTGGCACCAAGCCCAAAATATCATAAGCCCTAAACGAGCCGCCTATCCCATTAAAAAGAGAAACAACCAAAATAGGGCATTTAATAGGAAGTAGGCGAAGGTCATTTTTCATGCTCACTAAGGAGCGGCCAGACCACGTCAACCCTTTGCTGACCGCTGCTGCTCCACCCGTTTCAGATGCGTCTGAACAGGTTACCTCTGAGTCATAAGTTGCTGTCAAATCCATCTGAATCAAGGGGGAAAGACATAGAAGCATCATCAATTCGCCATGTAAAATGTCCTTTTCTCTCGGGTTTGGCCAGGCCTTTTCTAGAACTTCCCAGGACCTTGATAGTGCTCCCATAGCTGCTCTCCGAAATTGCAACAAGAAAACCCACCTGCCCAAAATGATTTGTGCCTCCTTCTTACTCCACACTGGGTTCAGCAGATGGTGTATTGTAGCCAATGCCGTCCGCATGAAACGATCCGGGGATCCCCCCAATAATCCATTTTTGCCATCAACTCGGACTCCAAGTTCCGTGATACTATCACTACCCAAAACCTGTTTATCTTCAGCAGTTAAAACCCCCGTCATGCTCCATGCCTTCATGGCACGCTCCTGTAGCTCAACATCACCAAAGCCATGAGGTGGTCCACCAACGTCAGCAGACATAAAATTGTCCAGGTAGATTTGCCACCAGGACCGTGCCTCTGTACTTGCTGAAGTTACCTGAGCAAACCACGGTGGCACAGCCCCGTCTTTCTTTAGCTCTAGCAGCGGGGGTAAGCCCTTAGAAAGAAGTATCTCCCGTGAAATAGCTTGCATTATTCCAACTGAAGATGACCATCCCATTGGCAATACCACGCATGAAGGCCTGAAAAACTTGTCTCTGTCACTCCCCGAAAAGCCCAGCAGGTCCCCTTTAACCTTAAAATTAAAACAGAAATAAGGGGACCAGCTTTCCGGGATAGAGAATAGATAGAACGCTGCGGACATATCTCCTTGTGACATAGTTATTTCTTCCCCCTCGCTAAGGCAGAGGGGGAGCCAGCCGGTTGCGCTTGGGAGACTTTGAATGTCACCCCGCAACACCGAAAAGATTCCGTTGACGGGGATAAGGTTCATGATTACTCTCAAAACTGGCAAATTGGACTCTGTAAATTTTCCAGGTTTAATGACGCCGAACATGCCTGACAGATACTGACCCCGATCATCTGAAAAAACTTTTTCGTCGGGGAACCAAGAAATAATGCCCCTGCTTGCTAAAAGGTTAAAAACTTCAAGCTCACTTCCCTTTGCAATATGAACCTTTGCTGAACATGGCGCATGACCCCTGTCCCGGGCATCAAGGAGGGACTCCTCAGGGTGTTCCATCAAAAAACGGGTCCTCCCTTTCAGAAAGGGCAAAATAGGGACAGACCCCCCATGACCTGCTGGTGGCAGGCCTTTCAGAATTTGCTCCGCTGTGAGAGGATAGGGGGCAAGAACTTCTTCCCCCGAATAAGAAACTTTCTTATCTTTTAAATCCCTTACAACTTCTTCAAAGGAAACCAGAGTGCATGGGTCACCTTCAAAAAACCGCCTTACCTTATCCTTAAGCTCCACCAGAATTGCTTTATGCACTTTTCCTGGCGCCCGTGCGAAGCCCGCGTTGGGGCTGTCATACAGCGCGTTGATGGCAGCGCAGCCGACAGCCACCCAGCAGTCGAGGGCCAGAGCATGGAAGTCGCAGGACTTCAAATCAGCGACACTCCATTTCAAGTTGCCTGGAAGTTGAACCGGCAGGGGGAACAAGCAGCCACGGTGGCCCGTGGCCGCTTGTGTGGGCCTAGCACGAGCAGGCTTGAAATAAAGCAGCTCTTCCCTCAACCCCCATGCCAGCTTTACTCCCAGTTCCAACAGGTTGCTCACGCCTGTAAGGCCCGCCAACCACTCGGATTTGCTGCCAGGGTCTCTGCTTCCAAAAAGATGCGGCGCAGGTTGAGCACCGTCACATGCTGAATTCCTGCTTGAATTCGTATGGTCCGGGTGGACAGTTGCCAGCAGCTCCAAATTGGGTGCCTCGTTGCACGGCAGTCCAACCCCAGCCATCATAGCTTGAATCAAGGGCGAGGACGCTGACAAATCCAGCGCCGACGTTGCCAGTTCAAGACCGACACTCAACCCTCTGCTTCCGCCTTCTTGCTCTTGTCTCCTCCTCCTCTTTCTCCTTGATCTACCCAGGCACTCCACTGGCCCTTCTGGCCCTTTCCTTTTCCTTTTCCTTTCTTTCCTTTGCCCTTTTGCTCCTTTCCCTTTCCTCTCGGCCTGTTGTCGTAGGCCCATTCTCCTCCTTGCCAAGGCGATCTGGAAGGCCAACTTCCCTTTCCGCCAGCCTTTTCCACCTGTCGCGCGTGGCGCTGGGCCGACAGCAACACGTGTGGGGGCGCGGCGGAGTCGTCCTCCTCTGCAAACACTTCCAGATGCCTGGCTGTCTGCCATCCCTGCTTTGTCGCTGTATGGATCGCCATGAGACGGGCGGCCATCACATCGGCTAGTTCCGCCAGCCGCCCATCTCTCAGCAGATCTAGGGATCTGGCTAACATCGCCAGCTCCTTGCAGTCGCGGCCCTTGCTGTCCATCTGAGGCTTCAATACCAACTGGAAGTAGGTCAGGATTTTCGGCCTCTGACCGCGTAATCCCAAGGCTTCGTAGCCTTCTTCGACAACCCCATCCACCGACAGCCGCTCGACGGCCAGCTCCTCCAACATCTTGTAGACGGAGCCCGGCGATCGTTGCGACCTTTTCCGGAGGGGCGCCATCAGGCTCTCGTCCCCTGAGGAACTTCGACCCCTGCTCGACCTCTCGCTGTCTGAGTCCGTGGAGTTCTCCTTCTTTTTGTGCCGCCGTCTCCTGCTGCGGGATCGACTTCGGGATCTTCTCTTCTTCTTCTTCTCGGATCTCTCCTCCACCGCATTCCTGAGACGTGCGGCCTTGGCCAACGTGTCGCCCAGGGTCTTCTTCTTCTTCTTCTTCGTTTTCTTTACCTCCTCCTGATCTGTCTCTGAGTCTATTGTCTGTACCTCCTCCTTCACCTTCTTTAAGGGGACCAGTGCCTGTGAGGCTGAGGCGGCCGGTCTGCCACCAGCACCAGCCCGGGGCTCCCGTGGGGAGTCTGCCCGTGCCGTGCCTGGCGACACCACTGGCTCTGCAAAGGAAACCCTTCGGGCTCTCAGCGCGCTCAACCTCTTTTCCACTGGAGTTTCGCCCAAAGGCGCGCCACGTCCAGCTCCTCCCGTAGGAGAGCGCGGATCTTTGCGCTTCTTTTTCAACTCTTCCAGTTCCATCTCCTTTCCCTTTGCAATGGCCTTCCTTGCAGTCGCATTCAGCCACTCTGCTTCTAGCTCTCCAGGTGGATACCATCTGAATTTGCGCAAGTGAAGACCAGCTTCTTCGTCCAAAGGGCAACCCCCCTCTGCACTGGGGTAACAAATATGTACGCGGTGACGACCATCCTTGAAATACTTCTCCGCCTTCTTCTCGGCCGCGGATTCGGATCCAAGCACCTTCACTTCCACCCAAATTCCTGTGTCGCGGGAAACCGTTCCCAGCACTAGGAGGGCGACCAGCGGTGGAAGCTCTTCTTCCGGTGTCTCTGGATCCTGAAACTCGATGACCGATCCTGCAGGTAGATGTCCGGTCCTCCAAAAAGCAGCCTCCTCTACATTGTAATCCGTGACCCTGTTGGGTTTTGGTTGTTTCTCCAGGGCCTCTTGGATGTCGTCTACTGTCGGATGACGCCCATCTTCGTCGTCTGAATTCAGGACAAGGGACGGGTGCTCCAGCACAGTGGCCATTGCGACGTCTCAAAGACGGCAACGTCCACCTATGCACGGCGCTCCAACCCCGCTTGCAGGTTGTCTGCAAGCTCCAACCGTTCCTGATCAAGACGTCTGTGGCTCCTCCGGAAAGGGTCTTCCCTTTCACGATAGTGCTTCTGGTGACGAGTCCCGCCTCGACGTCGCTTCGCACCTTTACCTTTCTTCTTCTTCTTTTTCGGATGAGGTGGTGGATGATTAGGCTCTGGAGGCTTCTCGCCCCTGCGTCTATCCCTCCTGTGATCCTCTTCTTCCTTAACAACCTCCTCTCTCTCGAGCTCTTCCTCCTCTTCGCTCTCCTCTGTGTACTCGTAGTCGGAGTCTGGCCTTTTGTTGTGATGAACTCCTTCTGGGGCTTCTCGCTCTCGAGGCTGCACACTGCGCCTAAGAGGAGGTCTGTGATCACTTGGGCTCCTGTCCCTCTCGCGCCTTGGACTCCTTGACCTTTCACGGGCCGCCTTCCTCTTTGGAGCGGTCTGCAAGGCGGAAGTGCCAGCAGGACCTGCTCCCTGAGAGGAGTCCAAGTTGTGCAGCGCCCGCACGTAGCGAGCGCAGGACAGGGCACTCTCCTCAGCTATTCCTCTAAGCCCGGGGACCTGCCAACGCTTCTTAAAAAGAAGCTGGCTGACCTCCAGCGAAGAACAACCAAGGCACCAAGAATCACCCTCACTCGGTTTAGATGACTTGCACTTATTGCAAGTCACCCCACTCATTACAAAGCTAAGAGCCTAGACAGCCCAACATGACGAAAAAGTGTCTCGTCCTAAATGTCGTGACGACTTTCATATATATATATATTATATATATTATATATATTATATATATATTATATTATATATATTATATATATTATATATATTATATATATTATATTATATATATTATATATATTATATATATTACATATATTATATAATTTATATATATATTATATTATATTATATATCTGATAGTATATATAATAATAATATACATCTATAATATATATAATCATATATATTATATACAATCATATATACAATATATATAATCATATATATATATATAAAATCATATATGCATATATAATCATATATACATATGTAATGATATATATATATATACTATATGTATGATCATATTTGCATATACCATCATATATATATACATATATAATCATATATATATAGTCATATATATATAATCATATATATATATATATCTATAATCATATATACATACATATTCATATATATATACATACACACTTATAATCATATATATGTATATATATATTCATATATATATATATATAGATACACACAAATAATAACTAGATATATAATCATATATATATATAATCATATATATATAATCATATATATATAATCATATATATATAATCATATAAATAATCATATGCATATATATATATACATAATAATCAATATACTGATATGTGTATGTATATATGTATATATATGTACACATCTTATGTATATCAGATATTCCAAGATACTTTCAGCCAAGGCCTGAGGCTGATGTATCCTGTGCAGGTCTAACAGCTGCTGTTGGAGGTGGGTTGCCACGAGGTTGCTGGACGAGTAGCAACCTCGGAGATAGCGAGAATCAGAAGGACTTCAAGAGGACTTTGAGGTCTCCAGACATTTCTCAACTGTCGAGGTGCGTGTCTGCAACTGGCCGCGCAACAGAGATGCGTAGAGTACTGGAAGAGGCAGGGTTTCATCCAAGTTCGCAGATTGTGGTAGAAAAAATGTCAGTTTTTTTGAGAGTGAACACAAGTGTGTATATAGTTTGAAGTAGTGTAAAGTTGTCAGCGACCCTCAGGAGCTGGGAGACTCGATCCTGCAGCAGTTCCTCAACTTAGAGACTGAGCATGAGGCAAGCAGTGACATCCCATTGTGACATACGCTCTATGTATTCTCCCTGTAGTCCAACGTGTTTCATTTGTTAATGATTCCAATGTAGCAGGGTAGAGCATTTTAGCCAGTGCCGTGGGACCATGTGTTTCGACTGAGAACAGAACACGTTCAGTTCGCGGCAGGTTTTGCAGGCCCGCCTTAACGAGGAAAGGCACGAACTGGGGACTGAACGAGCACTTCGCAGTAGCCTGGAGGACCCCCCTCCGGAGGATAACAAATGACCACCGGAGGACCACCAACTCCTGGAATGTTCCGAGAGTCGACAGAGTTGGCCGTTTACATCTTTTCGTGGGGGAACGTGCTGCAGTCTCTGCCATAGTTCTTGTCCTCGTGTGCTGCCATACACCTATTTGCTTTATGCAGCTGGCGTTCCAGTCAACAAAATGTGATGATTACCAAATTGCTGGTAGCACATTGCTACTACATTGCTACCATGGTCTATGTGAGACAATGGACTCTATTGCGGTATATTGCGGTACTTCCAAGACCACTGGCTCTTCAACCACCGTTGCAGGAACAGCTCGCTGATATGCAGGTGCAGCTGAAAGAGGCAGCTGAAAATGGTTCTGGGGTGCTGCTGACTTCCGTCAGCTTAGCGGGGAACACCTGGGCATTCAGAGCAGTGAGTCAATGATCGCAATAGACTCTGAAAGAAGCAACTGAAAGAAGCAAAATGAAACAAAGTAACTTGTGAAGTTGCATTGTGCGCCACTTTTTTTGAAACTGACAACTCCTTGGACCCCTGGCGAGGCCCAAGAGCATGCCGCCACCATGGACTCGGCAGCACGGCGTGCGATCTCCGCAAAGCACAAAGAGGAGGCAACAAAATCAACAAAATAATAAAGCAATGCTTGAAGCAATGCTTGATAATCTCCAATTTCTTTCTTTCTATCAGCAACACTAGCAACACTTGGAGCAACGCTTGAAGAATTTGGTGATAGAGGTTCGTTGAATGGACATGCATCTCACCAGCAGTCACTGGCTAGTCCAGCAAACAACTTGGACAGGCTACAGTCAAAGATCTGCGTGAGGAACTTGAGAGACTGGTTTGGTCCTGAAATGGTTTCAATTTGTTGCTCTCAAGTTTGAGAACTTACCCAAGTCACTCACTAATCACTAATCATGCTGATGCTCTGCTTGACCACTTTGCATTGCCCGAGATGAGAAACAGCCCCGAAGTGCTGCGACGCCGCACCGCCCAAGCGGAAGCTGAAGTGGAACGAATCCGCGCAGAAACAGAGGCGCCAGTGAGAATCTATGCTCCTGGAGTCCTGGAGTCCTGGAGGCTTAGATTCGCTTAGATATGTCATGATATGTCAAACAGCAGGATTTATGTGCTATGGCATCTATGGCTGCTGCACTGTCTTGGTTGCCACTGCCATAATTGTGTCTCAACCCTCCACTTTGAAGCTTTTTGGGGGCTTCCAATCTCAGACAATCTCAGCAATGTCAGCATTGAATGTTCACCGCCAGAAAATAACGGAGAAACACAAGAAAGACATGCTGGACGAACGAGATCAGAAGACAAAGCTCTTCATAAAGCTCAAAGAGCTGCAGGTCGAGCTCTGGAGTCTGGGTGTGACTTTGGGCACGGACTCTATGGGAGTTATATCATGTTATATCATGTATCAGTATGTTATATAATGTTATATCTATGCAAATATATGTAAGCTTAAGGGATCTTCACGGTGTGTGCATTTGAGCGTTCTTCCATAAGATCAACGTCTTTAGACTCCGAATACGCGGTAGGATCTTTTTCTATTCTCTAGAGGATTGGATGAGAAATGAAGACCGGTGACGAAGAATTGAATCATACATGAGATCAGTGTCATTCTTTGCACCAAGTTCAGACTTTGCCATAGAGTTGATAGTGGTTGCAAATTTCCGCTTGAAGGCCATGGAGGCTCTGATTGCCAAGAAAAATGCCAAGAAGAGGCGGCAAAAGAAAAAATGAGAGCAGAGCCCAACGGCCCAACGGCCCAGCGGCCCAACCATCTTTATGTTCATTCGACTGCATTTCAAGCAGTCCAGCTGTGCAGACTCAGTGTCTAGGACCCTAGGACAGCGATTCCAAATAGAACATGTATGAACATGTTCAACTGCAAAATCCTTTCAGCTCCATGTGTACCCAACTGACACGTTTCCAACATGTGCCCTCCAAAGGGATGGCTTTAGACTCCAAGCATTTGCCGGTGAGCTTTGCACTTCTCCAAGTTTATCACCAAAGAGCCTCAGTCCCCATTCTGCGACACCAGCAATTGCGGTTGCGATGGTTGCGATTGCAGCTTCCAAATGATTTTAATCCATTCAAAACCCAAATCCAATCGCCAGTTTGCGGTTGGAGTTGAGCCAGCTGGAGAACGTTCGAGCTGTTCAGGCACTCACCTTTAGGTGGTGCATGGCAGTCGAAAAGCTGTGGATCAGAGAAGCATAGATAGCTGTGGCTGTCCTGGCTGTGGATGTCTGCATTTCACAGATTATTTGAATTTATTTGCGGTTCAGGGATCGGCACCAGACCTACCAAGTTGCAGTGCTATACCCCCGACCTGCAGTCGGATCAAGGCTGAACAAAGGCATGGAAGTTCACAGAGGGGCACAGCTAACTGGTCTTCCAAACATCGCAAACCACCACTTTGACTGGGTCTTTTTGCCCCTTCTCAGCCATGTGAAGCAGCTTCGCAGTGCCGTAATGCCAGGACAGAAAGTTCATCAACTGGCTGAAAGATGATGATAATCTTTGGATATTTGGGGGATTCTGAACTTCTATTGGATATTGATCATTTTTGCTGATTTTCTGATTTGTTCTCAGGATAGAAGATTCTCCCTATGGCCTGTTGAATTATTTGACCCCAGGGGTTGGCCCCATGAGTAGACAGATCGGATCAAGGAAACGGGGCAGCCAGCTTGCTGTCAGCATTGGCTTTGAGGCTCGACATTTTTGATATGTAAAAAAGACCCTTACTTTATACATCACACACTGGTGACTTCATGTTTTCTAGTTGATTTCTTTGTGAGGCGTCGGAGCAGTAGAATCGGAACCAGACATGGCTGACGATGTCTATCAGACGCGCAGACCATGCTCGATGGGACTTCCAGCTCCATGCTATTCCATCCTATTCCTTTGATTGTGGCCATGGTCAAGGAGTCAACATATCCAGCAGCTCAGTATAAGCGGGAAGGATGGCAGTGCTCCGTTGCTTGCGTGAAGAGGGGTAGGCGCGTTGAGTCCAAGAGTCCAAAGACATCGAGGAGTGAGAAGTGCTGAATCTGAATGACAGGCTGAAACGAAGATGGCATCGTTCCAGGGCTCCAACAGCCGAGATATTTCCAGTCAATTTTTTTGTGTCAAAATCATTTGAGTCAAATTGAGTATCTGACAGTATCTGACAGTATCTGACAGTATCTGACAGTATCTGACAGTATCTGACAGTATCTGACAGTATCTGACAGTATCTGACAGTATCTGAGTATCTTGGGTCGGCATCTTACTGAGATGAGGGGCAGCCTTTCAAGACGAACCGCTTCGCCCTGTGCCGACTGTGCCATTGCCAATGTTGACCAGGGCACTGTGCCGTTGATCGATGTTTCGATGTTGATCTTGAATCACGCTGGAAAACATCGTCACGTGCTTGGGATTGCCAGAGTTGGCACTGACTCTCAGACTATTTTGGTTTGGATATGATTTGATTCGCAACTGCGCCGAATTGTGGTTCCAAGTGGCTAGACCCAAAAAGATGTAGAACATGAAACCAACTGAGAAGCCAAAAAGGTGAAGACAATCGAGCGGATCAAGGAAGGCCCTGAAAGACACATGGGATAAGATTTGAAGCTTTTTTTTTCTCTTCCTGGGCGCTTGCATTTTGACTGCCGAATCATGCCACGGAAAGTCCTGGGCTGAAGGCATCTTGTTGGAAAGAACGCCAGTAACGACAGTGACCACAAATAAACTACAGTAAATACACATGAAAAACATAGAAAAACATTGAAAACCCTTCTCATGGAACCTTATGGAACCTTATGGAATCACATGGAAACACATTGGGGGCACTTCTGCGGCGTTCGTCCCTTCATGGCGCCATGGCTGCTATTGATGGTGACAGTTGGCAAGGCCCAGATTACATGGGGACCGCAGCCCATGTTCCTTTCAGCCCCTTGGCACAAAGAATGGCAAAGATGGAATGTAGATGAATCTTAGATGAAGGCTCTTGAATGATCTCAAGGTTTTAGATATTGCCCAAAATATTGACCCCTGAGAACTTCTGCGATCTTTTCAAATAATCAAATCTATTGTCCCTTGGCACAAGAGGTTGGAATCAGGTCGAGGACCTCTGGTCAAGAAGAGGAACCTTCAAAAACTCTTGTTCTCATAGCCTAGCTGCATTTCTTTTCCAGACCACTACCATTTCTGTATACGGCTAAAGGAACATTTCAGCAGGCAAATCCAACCTCATCCCTGTGTCGAATCAACGTCCTCAGCTTGGTGTTGATCCCTTTCTCTGTCACTTTGCAGTCCCGGCTTTGCCCAGGAGACAGATGACTTTACCAATCAGCAGAGACTTTATGAATTGCTGCAACAAGCATACTTGACTGCAGCTTGGCAGGAAACTGCTTTTGTATCGCATGGCAAAGCAAACGAATATTTGCAGGTCTACCAAATTCTCTGACAGCCAAAGAGAAGAAGCTGCCATGAGACTGTATTGTCTAAGGTGGTCCATGTTTGCTTGTCTGAAAACAGGGTACAACCAAAATTTGACGGTGAATTATCGTGAATTATGAGTTCCAATTTTGTTTAGTGCCCATTTTAAGATACCCTCCATGTTCAGACAGACCCTGTTGAACTGTTGATCCCGTTGTACGATATACTATATTCCACTCGCATCCATGATATCCTCCGTTATGGTTACTTGCCCTGCTTTGTTCTAAATTTTAATCCCATGAAATCCCCATGTTTGATGACTAAATGATAAACAGATAATATGACAGATATGGGTAGGGGACATTGCATGGCACAGGACTACGAAGCGCGTCATCCCGAGCACCGCCTGGCGAAGGCTTTGGCGGCGGAGCTGGTGGAGTTTCAGCAGCGCGCCGCTTGGCGGATCATATGGCAAGGTGCTGAACAATTCAAACCTATACCTATATAATGATTATAAATTATAATGACCGTTACATGAACCTTAGATGAACCTGAGATGAACCTTAGATATCGATAAATTAGGAATAAGGAGCGAGTTCACTTTGTAATCCCGCACAACTAGCCCCGGCAAGTACTTATGGGTTGTCACTTGCGAGTTCTGAGTCTATGCACAAAATAACATGAAGTGAGCTTCGTATATCAGGGGCAAGGCCGGGCAAGATTCTTTATCTGGACTTAAGGTGCCCACGTCACCGTCGCTTGCTCTGGCAGTGGCCATGGGGAGCCTTGGCTTGTTGGACCCACGGGGCGCAGGTGACAAATGGGACTGTAGGAAGGTGTGTCCGTTGGAGTTGGATTTTGTTTGCTGCATGTCGGTAGAGCCTGAGGAAATACCACTTTGCTTGGTACAAAGAGGACGGCAAAGTCGGAGACTAAGATCGCTCGGCCAGCATGAACTCATGTGAAGCGTCGCTCTATCTGACCGCATTTGTGTTTGCCGCTTCTTGGAAGGTGGACGTGCAAAGCGTGTGGGAGGCGGCTGAGCTTTTGATGCTCAGTATCCAGCAGCTTGAAGCATAACCCGCTCACCTGGAACTTGCGGAAGATATACCGATATACCCATTACATCCCACGACATCCCATGACAGTTGCAGCTTGGCTCAGGTTTAGCCAATGCGATCGCTCAGAGTTGCCCATGGAGGTGTTTTTCCAGCGCATGTGCGACTTGGAGTGCCATTTGGTGGGTTTGCAATTTTGCCAAGTTCTGTTTGAGAGATGGCTGGCACATGCTGGCACATATCTTAGATCATTTAAAGTTGCTTGGGTCCAGTTCTCTTTCTGATTCTCAGTGCCGAAACCTTGCAATCCCTTCACCCTAATATTAAACGTGTCCCCCCCAATAATAAAATCTAGGGGTAGTTTTTATTGTTGGGGAGGTATCCAATATTCAGGGAGAAGCTGGCCCCTAAAATTGAATTCAAAACCTTAATATAAAGACACTATTTTCTTGATTTCAAAATCAATTAAAATCCTTTTTGAAATCTAATTAAACTATTGCCAAAAATTGGATTTCGACGCTTTCACCTAATACTGAATTTGAAACCTTAATAACGGCTAAAATCTTTGATTTCAAAATCAATTAAATTTCTTTTTAGAATCTAATGGAAATATTGCCAAAAATTGGATTTCGAAGCTTTCCCCTAATATTAAATTGACACCTTTAATTACATTTTTTTATAAACGGCCCCTAATAAAAAACACCTTGGGCTTAACTAGTTTTTATTGTTAGGGGGTATAGAACCTTCAATTTGGACCGTGATTTTTAAATTGCTTTCGAAAGGGGATCAAGTAAAGTCAAATTGACCCACCTGAAATCTCCCAAAACAAATACCCTGGGGTAGTTTTTATTTTTTAGAGAAGTTTTAACAGGGAGAAGGGATTAATCTTCCTGTCCTTTAAGTCTTCAAGCCCAGGCCACGTTCGGTGGCCGTATGCCGTGCTGCTCTTCAGCGAGCTGGGCCGCGAGTTTGCGTCCAGGACGGAGAGATGAGATCAGACTTGGCTCAGGGCGTGGAAGGCGTGGAAGTTTGATGCCAGGTACTTGACAGAAGAGGCAGCCAACACCTTGGAAAGGCGGGGATCAAAAGGGCGAGGGTCACAATTTTTTGGCTGGAAGCCTGGGAGCCGCACTTCAGCATTCTCAACTCCTCAAGGGTATGGAAGGCAGTTGCTTCCTTCACTTTGCATTTTTATTTTTTGTTCAGTTTCTATCTGTTTCTATTTGTTTTTGATTTTTTGTTTTGGCAAACGGGGCATACAGCTTTTGATCAAAAGTCCCTTTCAACTTTGATTTGATTGCTGATCCCTCCAGGGCGCTTGCGACCTTCGACGCCATGAAGCTTTTGCCGTATTATTCGCAGATGTCTTGGCAGAACGCTTATGACGTGAACTTTAATGAGGACTGGTAATGATTTTAATGACAGGATATGACAGGCTTCTTATGTCCAGACTCAGGAGAACTTGTGGCCGACCTGTCAGGAGTGGTCTCCTGGCAGTGCAAACATTGGCCCCGTGTGGGACAAGTCTATAGCAGCTGGTCTGATGCCAGTGGCAGGGGGAGGTCAAGGTGAAAGGGAGGTGGACCAGTCGTCTCCAACGGAATTCGAATGAACAAAAGTTCTCATGTGCCCAGGTACCTTTAGCGCAGCTGCTGGAGTCCAAATTCCCATCTCTTCGAAACGAGCTGCAAATGCTCCAATCAGATCCTGGCCTTTTTGACGAGCTATCCTTTGAGCACTCCAAAGTTGAGGCCTCGCCTTGTGACTTGACTTCTCTTCCAATAGCTTGTGGAAGCTTCCAAGAGGCACAGTTCAGAAGGTCTCTGATCATCCAATCATCAGCTCTTTACGTCGTGGCATGTCTCCAGGGCCAAGCTTCCTGGCCAGAGGGTGGCTGGCGAGCAGTGCAGCTCCGGCAAGGCAATGGCGCTTGGCAAAGCCGCGCTTGTGACGTGTTACCTTCGACCTGTGCGCTGCTCTCCACGCGGCCCGAGCTTAGCTGTGCCAACTCCGGTGCGGCTTTGGTGAGGCCGACACCAGTGAACTCCCCGAGAAAGTTCAGCTGATTTTTTTGTCCCCCTGTTCAAATCTGTTCAATATATTTTGATTATACATATTATACTCTGAAAATTGTGAACATCTGTGACAGAGTCCCTTCAGCAGAAAGAAGCCTCAGCCCACCAAACTTTTTAGTAACTGCTAAGTGGCTCCCACTGCTTGAGGCTGCGCCCGGGTGGCCGTCTCAAACCTCATTTCGGAAGCTTGGCGAAATCAGGGAGATCTGGGAGGTGTTCGGAGAGATCTTCACTCACCTTTATTCTGAACAGGCACAATGCATAGTCAGATTTGACATGGGGAGGAGGTGTGGATCTGGAAGTTCCAGCTGATATCGCCCAGGTCACTGTTGAATGTCTATTTTACTTCTAGGGGAGACATTGTAACTTGTAACATTATACCAAGTTCATCGAGGCATACAGCAGGCGGAAAACCACTGGAACGTATTGTAAAACTGTTTGGCAAGGCCCTGCGCCGCAATTGCAGCTACACATAGCGCTGCGAGCTGATGTTGGTGCCAGAATGAGCGTAGGAAATAGGCTGGGCGTTTGCAGCAAATCCCAGGATTCATAAACTCATGCATGTCACGCATGTCCCTTGGTACTTGCCAACCAATGCCAGACATTAAGGCCTTCAATTCTGAGATGATAAGTACCTGGTAGCTAAGCGGACACACACTCGACTTCAACGGATTGGGGTGAAAACCAACTTACCATTTCGCCTCGCAACACTTTTGCATGGGAGGACCTTGAGCTGGCAGACTGGTGAGGTCCTAGTTATAGATGGCAGCTTTATACACCAGGAGAGGCTGGAGTGGCGACACTCACGTTGCGACCAAGCTAAAATCTATGCCGTCTTTGCGTCTATGCCACTCTCCATGGTTAAGTTTGTGACATTTTGCGGAACAGATTTGATGAATGTTCTGACGACATGAATGTGATGACCATTTTTTAATATTCTTCGGTACTACTTGTGGCGCGTCAGGAGTGGCACAATGGCGTTCGGGGTGACAACTTTGTTCTGCAGGCAGGGCGACGATTTCTTTTCTGTTTTGCTCACTTCGTTTCCACATATCTTTTGGACGATTTTTGGAGTTGGTCACTGCGATTTTACTGACGCCTCGCATTTCACAGTTTGAACATAGAAGCCTAAGAGGATTGATAGATGCCATGTTCCGAGCCCCACAGAGACTTTACCATTTGAAGAAGCAGAGTGCTGCTCATGACACAATCATCCCGTGAGCTACTTCGAGTTCCAGGTCACGTTTTGCCATCCCTGTGACGAGAGTCAAAGACCACTTTATGGACCCTTACAATGTGGGAGGCGAGGAGACAAGAGACTTCACCTCGAGTCTGAATGGATCTGACATTCGTTTTGACTTTTTGGATTTGATAAGTTTTTTCTCAAGGAATGCAAAGCTTAGAGACCAATACTCACACTTTAATTGGTTCATTCTGCTGCCCACATCAGGCCCATTGCAAGTCCTGGTGCCGCGCGATCAGCGGTGGAATATCAGGCCTTTTTCAAATGGCGGTTTTTGTTCTGTCTAGCCGCAGCCAGTTGCTTAGCACAGGATGCTGCTACTCTACCAGTACCTTTCGCAGCAGCAGCGCTTTGGGCCGTCAGCCTGCCGGACTTAGCGAAGTGCAGTGCCTTGGTGCAGGAAAGGTCAATGTGGGGATGTGGGGAGTCTATGTCTGGAAGGGAAGATCTTGGAAGCCAAGGACTTGTGGTGACGTAAGAAGTCTCATAATGAAAGGAAGAACATTTTATATCATTTTATGAAATTTTATAAATATATAATATATGCAATTTTCAGATCCATTCAACTATATATCCGTGGTCTTATAAGACTGGGAGGGGGCACCTGCAATGCTCCTCTGTGAAGTCCTGATTTCTCATTTTAAAGCAACGTTTGCCACGCGAAGCGGATTACCCAAAGCGACAAGCTTGACTGGCTGAAGGCAGCATCAACGAAGAATGTCCGCCAGACTCGCAGCATGGGGGTCCCAACCCTCTAAGCGACTTGGCATAGCTGGTGATTCACTGGTGATCGTGGCCCTTCACGGTTGCGGTTTCTGCACTGTGCTCAGCCGAGTCCTGTCCAGTCTCCAAGCCGAGGCGCTTTGAACACCTGGAATTACATCATGAATAATCTGCGTGCTGCGATACGACACACTACATCCCAAACTCAGATTGATCCCCAAGTGATGACTGCTATTGGGCAGGCAAGGTTGCACAATGTTGCACATGTGTTCAACTTTGAAGCCTTCTAGTGGAGCTCAAGTAGGAAAGCAGAAAAAACTGTCTCAAGACCAAAAGACACCGGAAGCATCCGGAAGATCCAAAAGCGCTGTGCTTTCTTTACCTGAACAAGCTTACAGTAGAACAGCCTTATAGCCATTCTTTCGGCCAGTTTTCTCTCTCGCTTCATGCTCTGGTTTCAGACTCCAAAGCGTATGGAAAAGTGGGAGAAGGGTCTGAGAAGGGTTCAAAATGATTCAGGGCTGTGGTGCAGCTGGTGCAGGTTCAGGAAGGCATCCAAAACTTTCTGGCTATGCCCTCGCTGGAGCAGTACGCACCTGTCGTCACGTTGGCGTCGCAAATCTTGGAGGCTCTCACGTGCCGTACTCAGCTCCTGCGGAGTAGACGCTGACAATTTTCCTTGATAGATTGGCTACACGCACCGACGCACCTCCATTTATATACGTATATAATATATATATATATATAATTATATATATATATATATATTATACACATAATAACACATAATATATATATATGTAATATAACGTATATATATATATATATGTAATATGACATATATATATATATATATATAATATGTATATTGGATTTCCATGGATTTCCTGGACATGGGTTGGCACGAGGCCCTGGCTGCGACAGCAGGCTCCGGCCATGCTGAAATTCCCTTCGCCGGCGGCTCGACTCCCAGTGCCTGCAGATGGAAGAAGCCCAGGGACCTTCGCATTCAGGTGCTGGTAATGCTGTGCTAAGCTTGACCTAAGCTTCACTTGTTGGGCCTTGTTGGGTGTTCCGGATGTATCTACAGACTTGAACCGCTCCCATCATATTCCATCAATGGAAGTGCGCAATAGCTTGCATCAGAAGTGCTTGATCTCAGAAGTGGCCACTTGATCTCACGAATCCGGCAAAATTGTGGAGGAATAAGAGCTTAGCGGATGGCTGAAACAGATTGATTATGGTATATATATATATTCATATATATATATTCATATATATATATATATTCTGTTCATTTATCCACCAGGCTCTCCAATGGTGTGGAGATGCCCGCAATTGGCTTCGGCACGTGGAAGCTTGAGGGTGAGGACAGTGTGTTATACTGCAAAGATTTGCAAAGTATTTGAAAGCATTCGGACTCATCCGGGTCAACAAGAGTTCTTGAAGTATTCTTAACTTATGCCTGTCTCACAGTTCCTCTCACAATAGTCAGAACTATAAACATTACGACCCGGCTTTCCCCTGTGATTTGATAAGTGTCTAGATGGAGGATCCAAGTTGGCCTTTTGAGAGTGCACGCTGTTCATGGTGTCAAAGTCCCCGGGATTGATCGCAAGAGAAGGCAGGGGTGGCATCGTTCGCAGGCCTGCTACCAAACTGTGCTTGCTGCACTGCAGCTACCTGGCAGCTTTAGACACGAGCACTGCAGGCAGTGAGGACAACAAGGTTTTCGTCAGGATGAAAGATTTAAGATATTTAAGGATTCGTCAATCCAAGAAAGCATTGAGTTGTACAGTAGGATGTTGTAGGTAAAATCCACCCACCATCCAGACAAGGATTGCACGAAATCAAGCTGCTTGGAATCGCTCCTTTGAAGGTTGGGGCTTCGCCACATCGATACGGCGGAAGCGTACCAGAACGAAGCTGAGATAGGCCGATTTGATTGCTGATCGCTCGAGTCTAATTTTTTTTATCCGTTTGTGTGTTGCGGGATACTTTAGTGCAACCCCTGTACTTGAGCAAACCTGTCTCTGAGCCTGTCTCTTCTTGTCAGTCAGACCTTTCCTTTTCACTTGTTTGTGGAAAGCACAAGTCTTCGTTTCTTTTCAAGAAATATAGTTACTAGTATAATTTCATATATTGTAATTTATAATATGTTATAACTATAAGACTATAATCACATTTGTATCTAGATTATAATATCTAAATGAATTTCTTCAATGCCCCACCTGCCGACCTGGTCAGGTCGTGCAATCCGGGACAGCCAAGTCCCGCGTGAGAAGCTCTTCATTGCTACGAAGGCGACCAGCGTTGCACTGGGCATGGCAGAGCCTTCGTAGCTTGGCACGGCACCGAAGCAGCTGAAACGAAGACCAGAAAACATCCGATGTTCAAAACTAAACAAATATGAAAACCGGGAACATATGTGAAAACAGCAGTATCATTGAAGACTCCTTGATCATTTTGGGAGTACATGCCCCGTTTCCGTCAGTCTGGACATTGGATTGAAGAATGCATTTTTGCAAACATTTTCGCTGCCAAAGCCTCCCGGGATGTTTGCTGTTGTACCCTGCCTGTTCGCATACACCGGAGCGCAGATAAAAACCATGAGGTATCTGGAAACCATCGTCGCTGGACAACTCCAGGCACTACGTACCGAGTATCTAGAGCCTTGGCGTCCTCCTGCCTTCTGAAACAGGCTGGGACAATTGTGTTTGGCCGAGATCCAAGTAGTGAGCGTGGCGATGCTGGCGATCGGTATCTCACATGTTTCAATAAAGCCAACAAACCTTGCCATTTTCTATTCCATACACACTTAGGAATCATAGATGCTGTTCGATTGCTTGTCCCGCCTGCATTCCCAAGGACGTGTACATGCTTCATGCAGCTGGTGTGGGAGGAGAGAAACTGCAACAGGTTTGGAGGACAGGCAGCTGGTCACATTTGCTACTCCTTATTTGAGAATTCGTTTTTGAAGAAATGGGGTATACCGCTATACCCGATGTTCAGACAAACACGCTAGGAACATGGAGTACTTGGTGGATCTTGGCCGCGTGCGTGCACTCGGTGTCTCCAACTTTGGCATCCAGGTGTGACATCAACCACTCAAAGTGAGAGAACTCTCCTTTCTGGATCTTTCTGGCCTTACTGCTTCTTTTTATATTTATGTTGGGTTTTGTTGGGTATTATGGTTGATTATGCTGGAGTATTAGGAGTGTTGCACTGAAATTGGACAAGATCTCCCCAGGTTTCTCTGGGAGCGTCACCTTGCCTCAGGAGTTGGAGAGGTTATGGTCCATAGCTCGAGTGAAGCCGGTCTACTTGCAAAACATCTTCAAGATCTACAAGCCCCCTGTCCAAAAAAACTGGCATCTTAGGCTCAAAGAGTAGATCCCGATGATTTCTTGAGTTTCAATTGTTTCAATTGTTTCAATTGTTTCAATTGTTTCAATTGTTTCAATTGTTTCAATGATCTTCATGCAGCATGCAGTTCACCCCTCAGAATCTGTGTGACAACGTGGAGACATCTTGACACCGATGGTCGCTGTCGCGCTGTGAGGCAAGGGGAGCAGATCTTGGGCAACTCGCAGAGCGTGATGGATTGGGCACGAAGCCACGGCACAGATCTCAGACATTCTCAGACATTCTCACACTTCTGCGGGGTTGCCATGGAGCTCATTAGCACGATGCGTATCGCAATGCATGGCATGTCATATGAAATCATATGCGAGGTGGTACGTGAAATGTGATGGGACAGTGAACGATTGAAAGGTGTCGCTTTCTCTTTCAGAAACAAAGTTGAGCAAGTTGAGGAATGATGATGGTCGGGTACAGCACGATCAACTCCTGGCCTCACTTGTTGCAGCCGCTGTCGGATCCGCACGTTCTGCAGATTGCCAAAGCCAAGGGAAGAACTGCCTCCCAGGTTGGATTTGGCATTGCTATTTCACCATGGAAGCATCAACTGAAATGAACAGGACCTGAACAGGATGCAGCGCCTCTCTAAAAATCTTACAAGTATTTTCACACTGCTTTCAGTCTGGAGAGCTGCAGGTTTTGCATCGCTGGGCGCTGCAACATGGCATAGGCGTCATTCCCAAGGACCGTCCAACAGTGAGATACAGCATGTTGCAACTTGCTTTGCGTCAAAGACTCACTGGAGGCAGTTGCCAAATGCATTCAGATGTACGATGCCCAGGCGTCGTCAATCGAACGCATCCGTGAGAACTCCCAACTATTGGACTTCGAGCCGCTTGGGCGAACCACGAACTGCTTGCACCTTGTGAGATCGTAGACGTCGTAGACGTCGTAGACCGATGGCAACGCTTCTTGCAGTGCGCAGCTGCGCAGCTCGTGTGCGAATCATCCCCGGTGAGGCTTTCAGATGCACAGATGTCCGCGCTGGATGGACTGGCGACGCTCAGCGAGACCACTCACAACAAGATGCTGCCTTCCTGGAGAGAGGCAAGCTGGACACAGCTGGACATAGCTGGATATAGCCAGACCAAGTGATCAAGTGTCGGTCACTTTCCCTTAAGCAGGTGGAATTGATTGAAATTAAAGCGGCAGGCTGCGCGTTTACAACTAGCATACTTCCAGGTTTCACGCAAAACCAAGAGCAGGATCCATTCGGAATGTGCAGCTGTGTCAGACTTGGCTGTTGGTGGTGCTCACACAGCATGACTCCACATGAATTCACTGCCAGTACCGCAGGATGTCTTTGGCCTTGCTGCTGCAACCTCCACACCGGGCCCCCGTTTTGATGGCTTTGTGGAGGCTCCAACGACTCGAGCAACTGAGATTTTGCGACTGATCACCGATCCAAAGAAAGCCACAGTGTACAACTAGGCCGTTAGGTCCTGATACATGATCATGTATGATTCTATGATCATATAATATTAGAATATCAATTAATAAATATATATAATTTAATTATATATACACACATATATCATACAATCACATATAATCTTGGGTTTTCAAGATGTTGAAAGTCAGGACAGTCAGTACTCATGGATCGCTGCCGCGGCCATGGCCAGAAACACGAGACTTTCCGTCGCAGGCCATGCGAGACCAGGAATGCATTCGACAGCCCGAAGAGGTGAAGGCAGAGCAGCTGTGTTTTTCTCCCGGCTCTCCCGTCGCGACGCCTCCAATCTGTAGGGATTGGCTTTGAGTCCTTTCAACATCTCTAAACTCTAGACCATATACGAATGGCAAAATTGCAGTGTTCAGGCAAAGTTCGAACCTTTTTGATTCCAACTTCACAGCCATTATGTTAAGAAACATGGTAAAGTTTTGCGCCAACATGACCTGCAACCAGGATAGGCGCAATTCCTCTAGAGTTCTGACAATGCCGGGTGAAGTGAAAAAGTTGTGGTGGACTTGAAGAAACGAAGCTGGGGAGCAAATTGTAGCTAGTAAAACAGTGTCGACATGTACATACTGTCTGTATAATTCTATATACGTGCAAATTGAACTGATTAAGCAACACCTAAAGGGCTGAAAGAAGATTGCATAGTTTGGAACCGAACGAGAGTAATTTTTAAAGCCAATCAAGTCAGATTACTGGAGTCAAATTACCAGGTGGGGGGCAAGAACAAAACATATTGTCACTTTACACTCTCAGCATGACATTTGATGACAAACACACTGTACTGAGAGTACTGTATGTTCATGTACAATGGATGCATACAGATACCCATGCACAAAAATGGTATGGCGTTGAATTACTATATTATCATATATTATCATATATTATCATATATTATCTATATTATAAGTAGCCGCATGCACCGGCACAAACTTGAAACTTGTGAAACTTAAACTCAAACAACCGGGCGATTAGTGCCATGTGCCTGTGAGGCCACGCAGTGGACCCTTGGAGGTGGTGGACATGGTATCTCAGAGTGCCAAGCAGCTTGTCATGCGCAGGCCTGGCAGAGCGAATGACAAGTCAGGGTGCTCTAGCCGGGTGCTCTAACTACTCTAACTATTGTTGAAATACTTGTAATATTTGTAATACTTGTGCTTGTCCTTCACTTGAAGATTTCCGCAGCGGACGAAATCGCAAAGTTCATTGCATTTCCACTGCGCACTTTGAAATTGTATCTTTTAGATTGGTTTAAGAAGGAACAGTGAAAACGAACAAAAACTTTGTGCCGCAACGTCAAAACCCCGTATCAAATACTGCCATAGAACATGCCACATCGCACGCTATATCGTGACTGTCCAGGAAGTCCTCGTGATTTTTCATGCGGGAAGGGTTTTGCCAGGCAGACTGTGGATATCTGGTCTTCTACGAGCAGACCGGCTTCTGTCACATGTTCAGGAGACTCCACGTTCCAGACATTCACAATCTTGTGACAGTCTCCCAGGAGCTGCTTGAAGTAAGTCTCTGATCACTGATCGTCCCACAATGTCCCACAACGCTTGCAGCCATGTGCATACTGCTCACAGTTCTGTTTGCAACCCTGTCCTGCTTTTAAATCATTTGTTATCCAACACCTTCATCACCTTCGTCACCTTCGTCTGATTTGGGCCAATCTGAGGAGTTGTCAACAGCAGCTGCCTGCTGGCGATGGTGCTGTTCTCTTGGCGCGGCAGTGACGAAAAAATCGGACCGGCAAGGAACTGATACTCAGCTCAGAAGCTTCATCAGTGAGTTGGAAGTTGTTGGAAGTGAAAGGAACAAGATTGGAAAAAATTAAACGATTCAAAAGGTTCTGCATGGAAAACAAGGACTCATTCCCCGTCTCAGCCACAAACTTTGAACAGTTCGAATCGTTTTCCTATCGTCGCCTGCAGCTTCAGCAATGCTCAAGATTCAGTGGCATTAAACCGACAGAGCTATTGCAAGAATTCCAAATGAAACCATGCGGCCATGCGGATTTGCATCTTTCACACATTTGATTGATTTCAATTCAAGCTCTTCTAATTCTATCTATACGTACAGATTCCTTGCGAATTTGATTTGTAATTTATTCATATTTATTCATGAGACTGCAGCTGGCTTCACAGCCCTACAAATTCCAAGAGAACTCGACAAAGAAGCAAGACAAGGTTCTGGCTTTTGGGAGGACGTAAAGGACACTTATGGAAACTTTTCGAGACTTTGATGTCCCCCACACAATGCATAGTCCAATAGTGGCATAGGACAAACCGTTGAGCAGGGCTTAGCTCTCGGATCACGATCTGTGGAGCTCAGGCCATACAGCGATCTGAAGATATCTGACAGATCTAAAGCGCTTTTTCGAAGGGTCCTAGCTGCTTCCTGGTTCCGGTTTCGCAGTGCCAGGTTGCTAGGTCCAGGGCAGGGTTTCCCTGCCGTGGAGATAGGCAAGACGACAGGTGTGATCCTTAGACTCAAGACTTCACCAGACGGCAGAGTCTGAACACCCTGCTCTCATTCTCTCTCATTCTCTCGTGCTTTGGTTAAATAAGTTGCATCTCAATGAATCGTAGTATATGTGGTATACATCTCCAAGAATGATCTATATCAAGTACCATTGAGATCCATTGAACCTCACGCTTGGAAGCTTATGTTTCATAATTACATTTTCAATCATTTTTAATCATTTTCAATCATTTTCAATCATTTTTAATCATTTTCAATCATTTTCAATCATTTTCAATCATTTTCAATCATTTTCAATCATTTTTAATCATTTTCATACATTTCACATCATTTCACATCATTTCACGTTCAAATTGCGGGAACCTTTTGCAACGCCAAGGTCCACCGCAGACACCCATGGCCCCCGCTCCAGCGCAGGAAGACGAGGCACTGGTCAGGAGCTTTGCAGTCCCCAAAATGGACAGCTACACCGAGTCTGCAGGAACCAGATCCAGATCCTATTGGTCCTAGGCAGTTTTTAAATAATTTTTTGATATGCTATCAAATTGCTATCATATCTGGATTTGATGTTTCAAGATCCAAAGTTTCATGACACTGGACCGTTTCCTGCCCGACCTCTTGCTGCGCTGCCGTTCCTCCAGAATTTCTTTCCTGGTGCCCCACAAGGGATCAGGATACAGTGCCACAAGTGCAAACCATACGGAGCCCATGGAGGTGGAAAACCCGTTACGTGTGAAAGGACATGAAAGGACCTCCTTTGAATCACGCATTCAAGAGCATGTGGGAGTTGGCCACAACCACACCTAGTACGAAGAACTTTAAGAAAGGATTTAAGTGGAACACTTCTCTTTTTTTTATTTTTACTGTTCTATTTTTAAGCAAGAAGGATTTGAGACCAACGATCTTGTTCACCTCAGCCAGTTGTATACTTCTGACTTTATTAATGTTCCATGCTGCCATGTCCCGACTCTGGGGACGCGAATGAAGCATGGGGGAAGTTGAACCTTAGCTGAAGATGGATGGTGATTGAAGTTGTTAGTCAAGCATTTTTACATTCGACACATGTTCACCATTTCTTTCTTTATGTTCACCATTCCTGCCATTTTTTAAAAAGTTTGCACCTAGGAGTTGGAGAAGGCGACGGAAATAGACAAAGACGTCTCAGTCTCGGCACCCGCGGAGACTTCAAAGGACGCTCCACCGGAAACGCCGCAGCATGCGCCGAAAGACCCAGAAAGGCCGGTTTGGCCATGGAACCTGCCCTTGTCTTGTCACATGTGAAACACCTCAAGATATGATGAAATAACGATTGATAACGGATAGCTAGATTGAATGAATATGGCACGTACACCTGGAAGCTCGCTCTCTCTCTCTCTCTCTCTTTCTTGTTCTTTCTCCCTGTGGCTCGATTGCCTTGGCATCTAAAGCTCAAAACTATTTAAGACTAGTTGGGTTTTCATTTTCAGACCTTCGAGCGAGCAAGCGTTGTAAATCAGAGTGCAGGTAGTTATCAATCTGAGGGACATGTAAGCAGACATTAGTTGTGCCACCGGCAGACACAATGACCCTAGCATCCTAGTTGAGTCAAACCGCTACCGCTACCTCGATTTGCAATGGGATTTGCAACTGAAAAAAAATATGGGAATCTTAATGAATCCAGGCGAATCTTCAGTGGATAAACACACAGAGTCTGTACTGGTACCCTTTGTCTGGCACATTTGGTGCTGCAGGTCCGACGGTGGGGAAGCTACTGCAGAGGCAGCTTCCAATGGCACCAATGGCACCAATGGCACCAATGGCAAGTCGGAGGCCGGGAAAACAAACATGGAATTTGAAATAATTTCAGTAGTTTCTTGAGAGGGAACCGAGATTTGCATAGATTTGCCATGATACGTTCTAATCCCAAGATAAGGTCTCATCATCTACTCTGGTAGCATCTTCCGGATGTGCAAATTTCAGCAGTAATTTGTTTAAGTCTCACGAATTCACGCCAGTCAAAGACTCTTGATGCCGAGTGACTCTTGTAATGCTTGGCAGTGTGAGTACATGCGATGATAGTGACTAGCGGTGACTAGCGCTGTATCAAGACCCCACTGTTGCTCAAGATAGCGACCTGGTTGTTTCCGAGAAATTGCACAAATTTCCGGTTAGCTGGTCAACGCTTGACATATCAGGTTGAAAGGCTAAGAAATGAGGTTGCACGGCTGTTGCTTGACTAGGACATGGAACATTGAAGAAACAGGAAGAAGCATTGGGAAACACGAAGAAACATGACACATGAAGAGACAATACCTGTTTCTTTCTGCAAGCAAACGGCTCCTTGTCTTCATCCACTAGTCCACCTGTGTGGGGAAGAACTGTGCAGGCGACGCCGATTCTCATCGAGGGTGCGGAAGCAAAGGAAGCAAAGGAAGCAAAGGAAGCAAAGGCCACAGGGCCAGTAGAGTTGGAAGATTCCGACGATGAAATGGAGGCCTGCCATTGCATCCCATTGCATCCCATTGCCATGTGCCTTGCATATCTCGCATGGTTTTCCGACAAGTCCAGTGTAGAGTCGTAGAGAGTCTTAGAGGGTCTTCTTGGCTACGTGACACAGCGTGTTGGAGATGAATGACATGGCGACGGGCAAACGCATGGCGTCAAAGCAGAAAACAACTGGCATCAACTATCTTGAATTCGTATCTTAGCGATTCTTAGCGTATCTTAGCCTTTTGTTGCAATCTTGAATTCGTTGCTCGCTCTCCGGGGGATGGTAATGTACAGCGCGGCATTCCGCATCACAGGTCAGCGGTGCAATGGCAGAGATGCTGTTGCCGCAAAACCTCCTAAGCGAGGAGAACGGAGCTGTAGCAGCTATACAACAGTTCGCATAGTTCGCTATTTTTTGTAGATTCAATTATTCAGAGGGCGGCCTTTACGTTCTTGTCAGACACTCTACATCAAGATCATCAAGACTTGCTTGTGTAATTTGTTTTCGTTTGTTGCAGAGTCCGGACATCAACCAAACATCAGTAGACACGGTAGACAGGGTCTCTTGACGATCTACAAAGTTGTCACAACTCGTCTGGCAGGAATTTGCCGATGAAGCCGTGAGCATCGATGGCGATGACTCTCTGAAGGAGCTGGGAACAGATCGAAACGTTTGCCATGCGACCGGTTGCGAAGATTCGTTTTCCAAGCGCTCCTGCGCTGGTGGCTGCGGCCGGGCTCCATGTAGTTTTGTGGTTTGTCCTGCTCACGCAGTGCAGAAAGGAAAGGTCCGGATTTTCAGAAATGGGTCCTACTGTACAACAAAATCAACAAACGTAGAACAAACATGTATCCCACACCACATTCCATCTTTTCCTTGCACTCCAATTGGTCCAATTGATCCAATGGTCCAAAGGACAAACCACCTTTTCCGCCTTTTCCGCCCCGGAACTTTGAGCCACCTTCAGATGCCAGGACCTGGAGATAGAGCTATGGCTATGTTTGTAACCAGAAAGTATTCTAGAAATTTCTAGAAGTATTCTAGGAAATCTAGGAAGCTTGTGACGTCGAGGACAGTTTTCAGTATGTTTTCAGTATGTTCTTTGAAGTTGCATGTAAAAACCGTGGAAGTCCAGACCTCCAAGTTCCATTGATTACATCATTGATTTGCATTGCAGCAAGACGGGTGCGAGGAAGCGCGTGTTGGCCAAAGTCAAGGCGAAGGCCTCGGAACTTTTAGCCGAGGGCCTGGCTGAGAAGGCCTTGGAGAAGTACAGCGAGCTGATCAAGACAGGTCAGGGATGGTCAGGGGGGGTCAGGGTCTGCAGCATATGCAGAAAGATCAGAAAACTTTTGTGTTATGGGAGTCACATGGAGTCACTGCAAGTTGTGCAAAACGACATCATTCTTGCTGGACTTGCCCATGTAATGACTGTTCCTGCTTGATTCACTTTCATTCTCAGAAGAGCAGAAGAGCACGACCCCGCACATGACAGATCTTTCTTGCAAGCCTTGGAGGTGGTGCAACCGCATTGATCATGGCAGCTCGTGCGGAAGTCTTGCTAAAATTGGGCAGGCAGGTACTGCATTCTTGAGAGCTTGCACTAAAGAATCGATCCCTCTCTAAATTTACCTTGCCTTGTAGGTGTTGTTGCATGGCTAGTTCATGTAGGCAGATTGTGGAGCTTAAGTGTGAGCGTGTGGGTTGGCCCCTTGTGTGAAATTGCACATTGTTGATTTGTTAGGTTTCTTGACAGTGTGAGCTGTGAAGTAGTTCCCCTGTGTATGGTGCACTTGGATAGTGTTATCTTGTGGATTGGCTAGCCCTTGCCTGGTGGTTAGATTTCTTTTCTTGTGTTTTGCTGCGATGTTGCGTGAGCGACACCAGGTGGGTTTAGGCCCTTATTATGCGCGTGCTGGAACTGCGCCTCCTTGTCCTGGCCCCTCCCGCACTGTCGTGAGTCAGCGGGGGTCGGGCCTGGCTGCTCCAGTGATTGGCGTGAAGCCAGACACTTGGTCTTCATGGCCGAAGTTGTCAGATGCTATGCCCCGTGGAGGAGTTGATTTAGTTGAACATCATGCAGTTCAAGGATCAGGTTCTTCCAGAGTTGGTCCTATCATTGGGATTGGTTCAGGCCGTCACGCTGAGGAGTTAGAGCTTCAGAAATGGTGTGATGCATGGATTGCAACTTTGACACCGTTTATCTCACAGGCTCCTGCATTTGCGGAACTAGGCTTCTTGGCGCAGTCGTCCTTAGATCGAGTTCTACATCAAAAGGCAGCTTCAACTTTGCGCCGCCATCTGCCAAGTTGGCGGCTTTGGAGTCAATTTGCGTTACATCAAAATTGGCCAGTGTATGATCCTCCTTTGATTGACTTGGTTGCATTTATTCAGGCATTGGTGGCAAACGGCAAGTGTTTAGGTGGTGCAAAGTCTTCCCTTTGTTCTTTGAAGTTTGTTGCATCCCTCATGGGGTGGAAAGCTTGGCTCGACACGTTGGCGCACCCAGTGATTCTAGCTTGGTGTGAGTCACCAGCCACAGGAGTACCTTGTAAAGAAGCTCTTCCCCTTCCCCTTTTTGTGGTTGCTGCCTTTGAAGCGCAAGTCCATGAAGATCTAGCTACGTCGGTGACTCAAAATACGTTGGCTTTAGTTGTCTTTTTGATGATGGTATGGGGCGCTCTGCGTTTTAGTGACATTCAAAGAATTGATGTCAGTTCCATCTTTCTCGAGCGAGGAGTTGTGCGGGGACGTTGCTATCGAACAAAATCTGCTCGGGATGGTATGCCCTTTGGTATATTGACCCTTGGGCTCTACGCTGCTTGGGATGATTGCGTTTTACAACTTTGCAATGCTATGCGACAGTGTGATTTTCTTTTAACTGGCCCTGGGGGTGCACGCGCGAACTTTGCCTATGCACTAGGTCTTCTTCGCAAACTTTTGGTTTCGGTTGGGGGTGTGTTACCTGAGCAAGCATGTAACTACACGTTACATAGCCTTAAGACCACTGGCTTGTCTTGGGCCCTGCAGCTTGATGTTGATCACACTCAACGTCGGTTGTGGGGCCATCATCGTGGAAGAGATTCTGGAACAAAGATGGCGAGCAAATATAGCCGCGATGATGTGTTGCCAGCTCTGCGGGCTCAGTTGCATGTGCTACACCATGTTCGTCAGGGTTGGGTTCCCCTAACACCCCAAGCTAGAGGATCTTCGCCACCTGCCTCAGAAACAGTGCCTGCGCAGCCGTTGCCATTGTTATCTTGGATACCTAGTGGTTTGCAAGTGCCCGCTTACCAGGTTAGGTGCAATGCTGACAATGGTTCAGAAACCGAAGATGATTCGGAGTCAAGTTCTTCTTCGTCTATGTCAAGCGACTCTGACTCTGATGAGGCTTCTGTGATTCAGGTTTCGACGCAGCCTTTGACAGCAGGAGTTTTTGTGGTAAATACTTCCACTTGTTTTTATCACGCAGCAATTTGCCTTGGAACTGATGAATTTGCTCGAGCTTGCGCTCCACGGCAAGTTCTACGCCCACCGAGGTGGGAGGTATGGCATTCCAGTCCAGCAGATAGTGAAGAGATTTATTTGCCTTGTGCTCATCCGGCTTGTGCAGCTGCGGTGTGATGTCCTTGTGGCCATGTCCACTAGTGTGATTGCTTGCGTCCATTACGCGGACAGTGTGCCAGCTTTAGCGCCCGGATAGCGTAAGTAGTGTTAATTTACAGGCTGCTTTGGTCATTGTTGGTCGTTGCGTTGCGTCCGTGTGGCGCGGGTTGAGCTGTGGTATGCTCAGTGGGGTGCGTCCGTGTGGCGCAGGTTGAGCCGTGGTGTGCTCTATGGGGTGCGTCCGAGTGGCGCAGGTTGAGCTGTGGTATGCTCAGTGGGGTGCGTCCGAGTGGCGCAGGTTGAGCCGTGGTGTGCTCAGTGGGGTGCGTCCGAGTGGCGCAGGTTGAGCCGTGGTGTGCTCAGTGGGGTGCGTCCGAGTGGCGCAGGTTGAGCCGTGGTGTGCTCATTGGGTGCGTCCGAGTGGCGCAGGTTGAGCTGTGGTGGGCTCTGTAGGAGTTATCCTAGGAGGCAAACAGTTTGTGGTAAGATTATTTGCTGTGCATCAGGGCATGCTTTATTGAGTCATAGATTGAATTTTGCGTATGCCTGGCGCGGATGTCGCCTTTTGTGTCCAAAGTGATGGAAGGTTGCATGTAAAGTTTTCATATTCGGCTTTTCCTTCTTGTGCTATAGCGAACATAGATCGTGTGTGCTGTACTTGCAAGAGATTACTCTCGCTTGATTCACATTTCATTTGATTGTGTTTTGCTCATGACGGCAATGGACTGCACAGAGACTTTCCAATCCTTGTGCGCCAAGATTGGGGTAGTTGATCCGATTATAAAAGCCTTGGAGTCCCGCGGATTTACAACCCCAGCAAAATTCTTTTGGCCATTGAAAGAAGGCTCCGAGGAGACTTTTGGTGCAATTTTGGATGAAGCACAGATAGACATCAAGGCAGCTGCATCCATGCTTCAGTCTGCAGAAGCCGGGTGTTTGCGCCGGCTTTTGCATGAGTGCCGCACAATCTGCGATGGCCCGCCAAGTGTAGCAGCACAGGCAGCACCTGCCGTACCTGCCAAAGTATCTTCCAATCTGTTTGGCTTCGATGTTGGCCCGCGACTCACAAGTGATGCTCTGCAAAAATTGTGGTCGGATTTCACGAAAAATTATCCGGCAGAAGTGATCGTGGGCGATACCAGACCTTGCAAGGCGTTGGTTCAGATGGTCTTTGCGCAAAAAGCGGCCAATGAGCTCCGTTTCATTCCATGGCGGCAGATTCTCAGTGAAGCGCAAGCGGATCGCGCCAAACAAGCGGGGAACAAGGAGAAGACCTTTCTTGATGTGCTGGCTGATGCTGCGGGACATGTCAACGCATTGGAGCAAGACCCGTCGCCTTCTCATTATGGTGTTCAGCGTTTGCTTTTATTACGTTCAGTAGCATGGGCATTAGTAGGTTGGTGCCACCTTGGTGCAGGTCGACGATTGGTGCAGGCATTCATGGGGCTGTATGCCGCTCCTGGTTTGGCGTCACTGGGTCTTCGATCCCCAACTCTGGCCGAAGCAGAACATGCAGATGGCGAATTGTGTCGTCAACTCAATGCCTTACTGAGTGATGGATTCCATTTTGATTCCGCTCTTCATGAAGTGGTGGTGGTGCGCCACAGCTTGCAAATGTGGCTGCAACCCAAACCCAAGGTGGTCAATGCAGAATCGGTGATCAGTGCCAAGGGGCCCAAGCGCACCTTGCCGCAGCCGCTTGTTGATGCCAAGAGGCCACGAGGCAGGCACGGAAAAGGGAAAATGTCTGAAGCCCCACATCAAAAAGGGAAGCCGCCTTGTTTCGCTTTCAAACAGCATGGCAAATGTTCTTTTGGTGACGCTTGCAAATTTGATCATAGTGCCGTGGAGTGACTATTTGCCGGCCCAGCAAAAAGTTCGGTGGTGGATGCGAGCAACGATTCTTGCGAGTTGCCTGCGTTGACGCCCCATGAGGCGGTAGCCCCTTCGCCCCGCGCCGCGCCGGTATCAATGGCCGCGCCTTTTCCCATCGCTGACGGGGGAGGATGCGCTTCTTCTGCAGATTGGTTAATTCCACGTGCTGATTCTGATGTGCTGCGTGAGCTTCGGAGACATTTTCAATCTTTAGTTGTTTCCTGGGGGGTTGTCGAGCGGCTTCAAGCCCATTCGCAGCACCCAAATGCAAATTGCTTGTTTTCTCCTGAGGAAGTACATCAAGCTCAGCGCGATCTGGTATCCTTTTTGCGGAACAAGGGGTTTGATTGTTCAACAAAGGTGTCTCCTTATCAACCCTTTTTGCTTGAGGCGTGGTCTGCATTAGCTGCTTGTTGCGATGACAAGGATGCCTTGCTTCCCCCACTTTTGGAGCGCGGTGTACCCACAGGTGTAGTCTCTCCAATTCCATTTTCAGGTATTTGGGAGCCGTCTGAACCTGCCCCTAACCTTGGTTTAGATGACCTGTCAATTCATTTACAGCCTTGGCGCAGTGGTTTAGACCGTGAAGACCTTACTCTGAGGAGCTAATGCTGAAGGATGTGGCAGCAGGTCATGCCTATGAACTGATTGGAGGGGAGGCGGAAGCGCGACAGCGGTGGGGTGATCTGGTTGCCGCGGGCAAGTTAGGAATAGCACAGCCGCCTGGAAAGAAACCACGTCTCATCGGGGATGGGACGATTTCGGGAGCAAACCATCATTGTGTCATTGAGGAGAAGGTGCGCCTACCAACCTTTGAGAGCGTCCAGCGCTTCATGTCATTATCTGGTCCCGATGTACAATGGGGGGCTTTGAGTTTTGATGTGAGAGGGGCACATAAATTGGTCAATGTGTCTCCTGCTGAACAGGGCCTTTCCTGCTTCGTTGTCCAAGGTCGTTGGTTCGTCTACAGGTCTTGCTATTTTGGATGTCGTTGGGCGGCCTATTGGTTTTCAAGAGTGGGTGCATTCTTGGTCCGTCATTGTCATCGCTTTCTTTGGGTCCAACATGGTCTATTCATCTACGTCGATGACGGTTTGGCCCTTTTCCCACATAGAGTCTGCCCAATCTTGTCAGCAACTCTGCTCTTGTTTCTCGCTGCTCTAGGAGTTCCGCTGTCGTGGGAGAAGGTGCGTATGGGAGGTCTACAGCCGTGGATTGGTTGGTCTTTTCATTGGGATCGTGGCTTTGCGGAACTACCAGACAACAAGCGACAAACCTTGTTAGGATTGCTCACGGAACTGACAACACCCGGTCGCAAGGTACCCCGCAAGACTGTGGAGCGCTGCATAGGCATGTTGGTGTGGTTCTGTGGTGGGGCCTACTGGTTGAAACCATGGCTGCAGAGTATATATCATTTATTGTTTAAACCTGCATGCGTATTTCGCTCTGTGTCTAGTGGGCAGTTTGGTGCTCTTCTTGGGACCCTTACGAACAAACTTGTTGTTTCTCGAGATTTGATGGATTGCGATATTCTGCATGGTTGGAAACTTCATTCTGTTTGGAACTGCCCAGTTGATTCACTTGACAGTGAGCCGTTGCGAACTCCCCGTATTCGTCAGGGAATGATCAGCTGTGTTTTTTACAACTATTCAAGCCCCACTATTCAATGTAACCGAGCCGCAGCATGGGCTGCCCAGCTTTTCTTGAGGGCAGTGGAAAACCAAGTTCGCATTCCTTTGCGCGTTTTGGAGCCCGGGCGTGTGCGGAGTGCAGCTGACGCATTTGCAACAGGACAGCGTGCAGGTGTAGGAGGTTGGTGGGCAGTCTCAGAAGATGCGCTGCAACAGTCGAAGGTGTTTTGGTTTAGTGAGATGCTAGACTCGACGTCTTTGCCTTCCTGGTTGTGTGCGAAAGAGACTTTGCAGCAGGATATTGCTTCCTTTGAAGGCGTTGCGCAGCTATGTTTGCTTGTTGGACGGACAGCAGGTCAGGTTCCACCACCTGGTGTGACGCTGCGTTTCCACCAGCTTTGCGACAACATGGGCACTGCCGCCAGCTTGCGGAAGAAATTGTCTATGCAAGTGCCGTTGTCTTATGTTTTGCAGGCCGTGGGCTTTCATTGCTGCAGATTAGGCATTTGTTTAGATCCCCAGCATGTGGCTGGTGTTCGAAATCAATGGGCCGACAACCTCAGCCGGAATTGCCTAGAAGGCTTTGATCTGGGTCGACGCGTTCGACTGAATGTTCGAGAGTTGTTGGAGGAGCCTTGGTGTGGCTTTTCTTGACGGAGTGGTAACCACCTTATCAGTAGGGGTGCTTGATGAATTCTGGCGAAGGGGCTGGTGAGGTGGGGCTGCTGCTGGGCTGCCACCCAGCAGTGGTCCCACCTGGATTCATCTGCGCATTGAAAAGTGAGTGCTTGGCCAGAGTGCCTGTGGGTGGTTACTTAGGTTTTATCTAGCAAGTAAATTTTGTAGAGGTACTGCATTCTTGAGAGCTTGCACTAAAGAATCGATCCCTCTCTAAATTTACCTTGCCTTGTAGGTGTTGTTGCATGGCTAGTTCATGTAGGCAGATTGTGGAGCTTAAGTGTGAGCGTGTGGGTTGGCCCCTTGTGTGAAATTGCACATTGTTGATTTGTTAGGTTTCTTGACAGTGTGAGCTGTGAAGTAGTTCCCCTGTGTATGGTGCACTTGGATAGTGTTATCTTGTGGATTGGCTAGCCCTTGCCTGGTGGTTAGATTTCTTTTCCCCCCCACCCACCGCCAAAGAAATTTGGATTTGGTTTCAGCTTCTACTAGCTGGTTTTTTGACAGGCACGTGTTGCCCCAGTGTCAGGAAACTCTCGATCCAGGTATGATGGCAGAGATCTGCATGAATTATAGAAGAATTGAGAAAATTCATGGTTTGCCTGCTTGAGCCCATGTGCTCATAGCCCAAGAGGGCTGGTGAGGTGGGGCTGCTGCTGGGCTGCCACCCAGCAGTGGCCCCACCTGGATTCATCTGCGCATTGAAAAGTGAGTGCTTGGCCAGAGTGCCTGTGGGTGGTTACTTAGGTTTTATCTAGCAAGTAAATTTTGTAGAGGGTCGATGCATTGCCATGATTGACAGAAAGGGCGCTTCCTTTACGGAGTATCAAAGGGACAAAGGGAAAGGATGATGTGCGGATGCAATGCAGACTTGCTGAAGTTGGCCAAAATGTCCATGATAAATCCATGATACCATTCTCCGTTCAGCATCGTTCAGCAAATCTATTGTCGGCGCAACCTGCTCAGGCCTTGTGCTGCGATCCGCGATTGCTGCGCAGCGCTGCAGATGAACGCTGACTGCGGCAAGGTCGGGCGCAAACGGCTGGCGGGTCGTAACAAAACCCTGCTCAGCTGAGCTGGGCCCAGCGCGTTTCAATGCTTTTCAGGCATATCACGTGCGTGGCGCTGCGCATCACCAACTCCAGTCACTTTTCTGCAGTTCAAAGACTTTATGAACACGAGATGCTTTCTGAAAATATGCGCCGTCCTTCTTCTTTTAGCAGAGCAGAAGCGTGCTTCCTTGGGTTCCTTGGAGATTCAGATGCTCAACGGATAGTCACCAGTGTGCAGATTGTCACAGCTAATTGAATCCAAAAGGTTTGCCAGGATCTAAGTGGAGCTGAAGACTTGCACAAATTATAAGGGATTTTGCAGGCAATCTTGGAGAGGGTATCAAGCCTTGGTGAACTATGATGTATGCAATACGCTCTCCATTGAGACCCTGTCTTGAAACTCTGGACAACATTCACACAGTTGTCATCGCCATTCTTACATAGTCTGAGTTATCCGCGATTTTCCATGTTTCATCCATGATGCCCATCCATGATACCCATCCAGATCCATTTCTGAGGCACTGGAAAAAGGCTTATCGGGACCTCTCTCAGGGTCAGCGGCTGGACTTCCAGGCTTGGACAATACCATTATATTTATATATAGTTATATATATACAATATAATCATATAAACTAAGTATTGTAATTGCAGATCATAAGTCTTAGCAATATGATCAATATGCTCTAAACAAATGATCTCTAACATGCGTGTTTGGTTTCGTAGATCTGAATTCCAGGAGGTTTTTTGCCCCGAAAAGGTTCGTCTTGAAGGTGCTTAAATCTGCCTATTGGATGATCGTAAATTTATGTTCACTGCTCGTCTCCAGGTGTCTTTTGTTGGGTGATGGTTTTCAATAAACTGATTTAATGCAGGTGACAGTGACTGTCACCAAATCACCCTGTGAGAGTCACTTTCATCTTCAAATAGTTGCATAGATGGGTCTTTGGCAGACCTGGCTGGTTCTCATGACATCTTCATGACCTTTCCCCATGGATAGGAAGGCTATGCCGCCATGCACGCGCTGGTTACAAAGAAGGCCGGTGTCGACAAGGCGCGACGCGCGGGACACGCTGCGCCGGAGCAGCGACGCTTTGTATCTGTGATCGTCTTAGACTAAGGAGAAAACCTCACCGCGACATGACCGACATGACCGAGCCAAGATCGCTGAGAAAGTTCTGCATGTGGAGTCTCCAGTGGAAGAGGCCAGAGTCGGAGTCTGTTCTCCCGAAAGCCTGTCCTACGAGAAGTTGTGACCACGAGCACCTTGGAACGCTTGGAAGGTGAAGTTGAAACCTCCCTCCAAGGAGTTCAAGATCGGTCAAGCTGTGAGGTGTCTCCGGGGCTCGAGGATAGTTTAGACATCTTTAGACACTTGAGGGAATTTACTCCTCTACCTTTGGGGCATCCTACCAATGCAAACTTGCAGGGCAAAACAAAGGAACCACCATAAACCACCCTTCTCGCCCTTCAGGCTAGGCCACACTTGCATTTCTTTGCCACGAGATAAAATTCTGAATCAAAGGCGACAAATATGATATTAGAGCTGAGGATGATGAGGTGCGACAGAAACTCAAGAATTGCATTAAATTGCCATCGGACAAACAGCTTGGAGCCTTGGAACTTGTTTGTATGCAACTCCCTGTGGCAACTGGCAGTACTTCACGCAACCCGTGTTTTCCGCATCACGATATTTTCGCATTTCATAGATGTGGAGGTCTTCCATGGAGAGTTTGCCATGAATACACAGTGTTGTAACCACTTTCCCGCCACATTTTGTTTGAAGCAGTCTAGGTCCGTCCAGGTAAGTGCCATCATGCCATCCCACAAAATTGTGCCTTTTGAACTTGCCTCCGATCCCAGGCATAGGGAACTTGATACACCCGTTCCATTGTCAAGTCTTCTCTGCCCTGCTGAGTGCTTTTATCTGGGCTCCCCATGTGTTCTAAAGGTCCGTTTTTGGGGTCCGTTCCCGTGCAGGTTGGGTGGACTGTTGAAGGCACCCCATTTGAATGGGAAACGTGGCCTGGTGCAACGACTGAGCACCCAGGACAGCATATCGCCTTGCAGAAATGGAAAATAAGATGGAAACCATGGAAATACCATGGAAATACCATGGAAATACCATGGAAATACCATGGAACCAAATGACACCAACTGTTTTTTCCACGTTTTTCCTACACCTTCCTAGATTTTGGCAACAGACGCAAGAGATCATAGACGGTTGACCATAAGGTCAACACACCTGTCTTGCAATGTTTTATTTCCTTTTCAAGGACCTTGCTTATCTCGGCTAAATCGTTGCTTGTCCGAACAGCAGCAATTTATTCCCCCAATAGTAAGCCCAATAGCATTTGAATGAAATTTGATAATGTTTTGAACAAGTTTGCTGGGTCAATTTGTTCCTCGACAATTGGACCTAATCCGGAGGACAATGATCGATGGGAGGTGGAGATCCGCCTTGATCGAGGTCAAAATTCCAGAGGGATTTCGACCCCCCAGGTCGTAAGGAATAAGCACTAGGATTTTCTGGGAAAAATTAATTAAACAAGATAAACAAGTGCATCCAAGTGCATCCAAGATATCCAAGGCGCTTAAGCAACAAGTTCATCACCTACAAAAACAGGGAAGATTCTCTCCCGGCGGGGAGCACACCAGGGCAGCAGAATCAGCCCTAGTGGCTCCTAGTGTCGCAGGTGTGCTCGAAGTGAAATCCATTCGCAGCGAGAACATCATCGCAGTCCCTCGCAATCAGGCAGTGCGTGGACTGCCTCTCCCTTGAATCACTCACCCCTACATAACTCGCATAACTACTTTCTGCACAACCCACAGAAAGCTCTGGGCGTAGACAACAAGCAGGACAACATGGGCAGGAGTGTTTTCAAATTACATGTAACATGATGCGTACCATACCAGAAACCAGTATTCATTTTAAGCAATATGCGATAACCGCCGAAAAAGCCTTGCAAAGCCACTTGGCCTTGCTACCCCTGCGGGAATTTCAGCCTTGGCCACGACTTCGTCCACTGTGTGCACTGTGTGCAGGCCGCAGAATGGCAGCTTGAAGAGGCTCGTTTTACCCAAGAGAGGCAAAAGCGCGAGAAGGCGAACGGGGAGGGTGTGGATGGCGGGGCAAAGGTCGAGGGGTGTCAGGTTTTGTTGAGAGCATTCCTGTGGTCAGTCCGAGATGCTTGTAGAATGTTAGAGAGTTGCAGAATCGCAAGCGCAATGAAGTCTATGAAGTCTGTGAGGAAAAGTTAATGTTTCGAGCCCGACTCTTATTGGTTTTGAGGATTGTGCTTGCGAACAAGCGCTTCTCAGCTGTGTTGGGCTGGACATGGAAATTTGCAGACGACGTCAGGAAGACAAACTATGGAATGAGGAGCAGGAGAAGTCCAAAAAGTTCAATACCTTCAGGACAGGATTCTGCGTCTGAGGCAGAGCACAACTATGTGTGACTTGTGAGCAGCCAAACCATGCCAAAACAGGGCAGTGTCTGAAACCTGCTTCTTTCGACGCCGAATCACTCCGCGAGTACTGAATGAAATTCGTGAAACCATGTGAAACCGAATCGGTATGTACTTGGCCAGGAATGTATGTGAGAAGACGCTCAATGCCCAGGGCTTTCCCATTATGGACTCCTCCGAAAAGTTGGAGGCTGTGACTGTGACTTTCGTGTTTCATGACATTTCATTCAAGAATATGAGGCATAGACAGGCCATCTCAAGACGCTGGCAACGCCTTTGTAAGTCAAACCAGTCCGAAATGGACATCCATCCAGTGTCCGACCTCTGCGGGAAAGGACTAGTCACAGAGAAAGTGTCAAAAGTGAGGACAATTTATCACAATCGTTTATCACATTTATATATATTTTTATCACATTTGTATCACATGATGCTTCCATTGGATTCCTAATAGTTCCACATCGTGTGCCTGCGCAGCGTCACAGGCCGAGATGAGTTGTTTGCCTTTGGACCACGAAGCCCTTGCGCTTTTGAGGCGCTTGCGGCCCCAGGAGGCCTTGCAAGTCCTGCAGCAGGCGCTGGCGATACTGGCGGACATTGAGTGGTTGTGACATGGTGTGACGGTCGCTATGTCCAAAGCAGACCTGCAACGACTGTTTTCTGTATATCTTAAGTCATCTTATCGATATCTTATCTAAGTATTCTTAGATGCTTTGGTATAGCGTCATTTCGGAGCCTTGATGTCCGGGTCTTTAGCCTTGAAGACTGACAACGAAGTTCCCACGGATTCCCACGGCCCCGGACAGGTGAGCATACAAGGGATTAACAACAACATGTCGAGCTACATCAAGATCAAGGCTCGAGATGATCGCCGGATCCACGGCTGATTGATCCATGGTGTCCATGGCTCCGCAGGTGAGATCGAAGCTGGGTGATCCAGACAACACCGATGAGGCCTGTTTTGGATGGCGCATGAAAGCAAAGCCTTAACAAGGTACCAAATCATCGACAGGGTTGAGCCCATTATAGGCAAATGTAGCCACAAGGCTGGAAATTGGCATAAATTAGCCGTATTACAGGTATATAATTGCACATAATGGTATACATAATTATACATACATATATAATTCATATAATTATATATACAATATATAATATTGTATATATAATTATATATTTATATATATGCAATATATATATACAATATATATATATATATAATATATTTATAATTGTAATATATATATATGTATTTCTGCATTCACCTGTAACATGTATTTACCATATGATTTCCCCCATTTACCCCTGAGATGTCGCCAGGATCCCAAGATGCCGCAGCCTGTCCCGGCGAAGACGGAGCCTCGACCTTCGGCGGCCACGCCAGCGCCAGCCACGCCGGAGCCAACGCCGGAGCCGGTGAAGCGGCCAGCGGAAGAGGCACTGGAGGACTGTGGACAGTGCCATATACGATGATAAGATATGATAAACGTTTTTTTAAACGGATAACCTATCAGATAAGTGTAAAATCCTAAAAGATCCTAGAAGCAACTATAGATAACTACATTAACTAAGATGAAAGTATGGATAGTATAGTTGATGATGAGCAGCAATACCAACAATGACAAGTGCTCCAGTCACATATCTCCAGACATCATTCAAGAACGGCAAGTCAAGACCCACCAAAGTGTGGGGAGTTCCATGAATGCCGTTTGCCGTACAATCACATCCACCATAGAATTAGCCGACAGATAATCTGTTTGAAGTACACCAGGAAGCCAACGAGGACGACTCTGAAGATGAGGACTTTGCACCTGGGCCGCCAGGGCTGCCATGGCCGTCTCTGTCCGTTTCAATTGAGGCACTTCGGCCATTGTGCGAACGTGGACCAGTGGACGACTGGAAGTTGTTGCAAAACTAAGGACCTCCTCCCAGAGGAGAAGGAGCCCACCTTGGGCTCTGGCTTTATAGAGGACTGATTCTATCCGATTCTATCGGATTCTGTGGCATTTCTGGTTGTAGATTGTTGTAAATGGTTGTAGATTGTTGGCTTCTGAAAGCCTCCTTCCGGTGTTTTGTAGTGTCAACATGCCAGGGTTCAGGTGTGCACAGGATGTGCTTAGGAGGCCATCGATCAGTGGTCAGGAAGAGCCCACAGAGAAGCAGCTGGAGGCGTTCGGCCGGTGGAAGCAAGAGGCGTGACTTGGAAATCAAATTCATGGTGAATTTGTGATTTTAAGTTATTTTCACAGATTTTCATTGAATTTCCATCAACAGCTTTGAATTTCGTTTTGACATTTTTGTTCTCCGATAGTACCTCAGACTTCTCCTGATGTCCCAGTATAGTTGCAAGCTGTAATTTGTATAATTGCGTATGTGAAGGGATGTGAAGGGACGTAGGGAGCTTCATCCAATCTTGAGCGAGCTGCAAAGATGCAAGCAGAATGGGAGAAAAGGTGCAAGTCTGAAATTGAACTTAATATAACTTAATCCATACAATTCCTACACCAATTTCTACACCATTCTACATCTTATCTGAAGATGGTTCGGGATGGTCCAGGATGGTCAGGCTGTTCGCATCTTAAAGCAACAGCGCTGAGGCAAGACTCCTTGGAGGCTGGGGATGTAAAGACTTCCCTGGAACGGCTGGGAACCCAAGATCTCCATAGATCTGACCAGAAGATACCAGAAGTGGCTTTCAAATTAGAGAGTCAGATGATGCGCAGTTGAAAGATGTTGAAAGTCTCTATTGCAACTTTGACTTGTTGAGGCTCACTGAAGTCATTGAGGGCGGGGGCGGCTCCGCTCTCATGCTGACGAAGAGAGGCCATCAAGTGCATAGATTTTTTTGGAATCGTTTGGAACCCAACATTTTCCCTGAGATCCTCTCCCTGTAGGTGAGCTCCTGTTGAAGGAGCGAAGGCCGTTGGCAGCCATCCAGGACTGCAAAACGACAGAGCTGAAGGCCGTAGTTGCTAGATCTTTCAAGACTCTTGCTCTAATCACTAATCCTTCATTTGTCAAAGCTTTGTAAGAGAAGAGCAGCAAATGTGTTGGCTATCGGAGACGAGAGAAGTTTATAGATCGGAAAGTGACTCTCGGCCAGCTGCAAGGGACATGAGCTGACTAATAGTAGACGACAGAAAGCAAGTGACGTAACTGAAAGCGGGAAGAGGGCAAAGATTTGCAAAGAAGAGCCTCCTGACCTTGGCATACAGACAATAGACTCACGTAGACTCCCATGCCGGGTCTGGACACAGTATTGGTACCTATTGGGAAAGACTAGACAATTGAGACTGGATTCATGAGTCCAGACATGGTGTGTATGGTTTACGGAAGGCCTACAGCTATAGATTGGCCAGGTTACAGGAACAAGCCTAAGCAGCAGCTGCACACAGATTTGAAGGAACTCACAACTTGCATACACCCCGGCAAGATAATCCAAGTTGGAACAAGTCACATGACACACGATGTCTCAAGCAATGTGACAAGTAATAGACTTTCGTTTGCAAAAGAGACACAGGAAAAGAGGCACAGGTGATGTTAACATCGCCACAGCGTGCTCAACTGTTTCGTCAGGACTGCTCTGCAGCCCTACAATTGAATCCGGATCTGGGCAAAGCCTACCGCGTCCGTGGCATCGCACATCGGAAGCTCGGGAAGTACAAGGTGGCCAAGTCCGACCTTGCACAGGCGAGACCATGGTGACCATGGTGACCAGGAATCAACTGCAGCGACTGCATGAACTGCATCAATCCTTGCTGGGACTTGAAGTCTGTACTTCCATTGCACGATTAGGATGATTAGGATGATTAGGATGATTAGGATGATTAGGATGATTAGGATGATTAGGATGATTGGGATGATTAGGATGATTGGGATGATTAGGATGATTGGGATATGCAATCGGACATGTATAAGTTGGGTAAGGTATCCTGGTTCTTTCCGTAGTTGGATGTTGGATGTTTGTCACTCCGAAGGCCCAAAACTTGGACTTTGATGAAGGCGTCAGCTTCATTGAGAAGTTTGTCAGCGAGAAGGTTTCTTGTGCACGGAGTGGGTGTCACTCCCTGGAATACACTGGAATATGGTGGAAAATGTATCTCCATGCGCATCCAATCATATCCAATCGTGTCTTTTTTTACAGTTGCAACTTAGCTTCTCCATGGTATAGTTCTGCCGAAGTCCGACGTTTTGTATCCACCTTGTTTTCGCGTTCCGGGCGCGAAGCTCACAGGTGCGCCTGGAGGAGCGACGCCGAAAGAGGCACCATTTGGGCAACCAACGGAATGTCCTGAAAATTTGGTGCCGATGATCTCCACTGATCTTCCCACTGGGAATAGAAGGGTAAGGTCACCTTGATGGTTTGGGATTCTTTGGATAGGGAACATACAGAAAAAACTCCGGCTGAAGAAAATATATCATGAGAACTGGGATCCAATGAAAAGTAGACAAAAAAGTAGCTGGTATCTCATGCTGTTCCTTGAGGGTTGATCAGCTCTGGTGAAATCAATCTCTCTCTCTCTCTCTCTTTCTCTCTCTCTCCAACCATTACTCATTACAACGATTACACTAGGATCCGAAGATATCCGAAGGCTCTTCATTTTTTGTTGGCTTCATATCCAGCCTCTCATGCCTTGAGCTTGCAGCTTCAGGCAGAAAACACAGTGACCCTTGCAGATGCCAGTGACTCCTCAGTGTCGCACAAAGTACACGAGATCTTTGGCAATCGACAGACTGGACGCATATCTACTACATATATGCTTGTCTCATATTATATCGTTTGTTTTACAACGTGTTGATTTCATGAACCTGGCCTAAACCTGGCTACATGTGTCTCTGGAAAGGCCATTTGTTCCATTGTCAAAGATATGTGTTAGCTCGGCACCAAATGCGTGTCAGTGGGAGCAAGGGCACAGCTGAATAGCACCGTCTTGAGATTCTAACAAATATCAACAAACCCTACTGCAGCCTTGATTGCTCTTATTGAGATTCACAAGATCCAAAAAAAATATGCCGAAGAGGAAGAGTTTCGATATGTTTCAATAAGATTACACAGAGACACAGAGTGCACAGTGCCACGGAGTTGCGACAAGAGACGCGAACAGCATGTGAGGGCTCTGTATGATCTGTACAAAAGGCGCTGCAGGTTGCAATGGTTGCAGGGTATCGTACGGATCAATCCCCTGGAACCTTCTGTGGCAAAAATCTAATGTTCACAAAAGCCGAATCTGGGAAAGTCACCTGGCAGTCAATAGCAATGTTCTCAAATGCTGTTGCATACGGACGGCTCCATGCTGTTGGTAGCTTGCATGAGAGAAGTAAAAGCCAGTGTTATAGCAGCAAGGCATTGTCACTTCACCCCTTACGCGGTGAATATAAAAAACATGACACATATATTTATATGATATTGTAATATATTGTATCTCATTTGAGGCTGGGATTCTTCACGCATCAGGCATCATTTTTCCACGACATGTCTTCCCACCGCCAGTCCCTGAGCGACGAAGAGACCGAGTACACTGGACAGCTGGCGCGAGGCTGGCACAGCCACGAAACGGTGTCCAGATCGTTCCCATGTGCACACCAGCTATGCGACATCATGTGGTAATATGATTGTAATATGTGGATATATGTGGTATGTTGTGGTACTAATTAAGATCCACTAAGTACTGTTTGCATCTTTTTGTATCTTGCAGTGGATCCCTGTATCAAGAAACGTGCAATCAGAATATCAGATACAAACACCATTTTTTGTATAATGTTGATTGGCAAATGAATCACAGGTGGCTACCCAACGGCCTCATCTTCATCCACCTTTGTGGTTCGAGAACAGGTGCAAATCAGCCCATACATCACACGTTTTTCTGACACAGAACTTTATTGTGTTATTGCGACTTTTTTCGCTCTCTCTTGATCATGATAAGATCCATAAGATTGGAGAGCGTTGCCGTAGCATGTGCAGACGAATCTCATGCGTACAGAGGCGCGTGATGGGAACTGCCTATTCCGCTCCTTCTCTGATCAGGCCTGTGCTCAGCTTGCTGGAAGATTCAAAACAAGAGTTGTTTCAATTTCTGGAAATAAAAGACAAATCCGAAATCATCAGAACAGAACACATCAGTTGTTATTCACAATATACTAGAAAACGCAAAGAGTTCTGTTGAGAGGTCTATGGATGCCCTGACTACCATGGGCTTCTGCGAGACAGGCAGCAACCAACGAGATCTGTCATCTATCTACACTTGAAGGGAGTAAGGTGGTAGAATGGATTTTTCATCGGGGATTCGATTCCACATATTCTGAGGTGCACCAAATACATCGCCAGCGAGCGAAATTACTTCGAACAATTTGTGGCAGAACCTTTTGAACAGCGCCTTGGCGGAGACACATGGTGACACTCAGCACATGCTAAGCACCGTGTCAACTTCCATCAGACGACCGAATCGACCTCCGGTGACGCCATGTGTCCGCTTCATCTCAGGTTTCTGGCGCGCATCCAGCGCGAAGGGGAGTGGGGTGATGATGTGGAGATTGAGGCTGACTGATACAGATGTGTGGTAGGGTCTCAGTCACTTCACGTCACATGTGCTCAAATGCCACTTGCTTTTCATTTCCCTGAAGCAATGATCTTTGATGCTTTAGGCTTTGTCAGAGATCTATGACTGCAGAGCGGGGTGCCTCAAAGAACCCCTCCTCTGATGCTGTGACTGAGCAACGTGCAACAACGGACCAATCTTGACGAATCAATCAGGAGCAGCAAGGGTTCAGCATCGGTTCAGCACTTGCAGCGTGCGTGAGGTTGAGATCTACGCAGCCTATGGCCACTCGTCCAGGGCTTAACCTTGGGAGCCTTGGAAATTGCCAGGGAAGATCAAGGTCTGTGCCATTTTGGCGGCATCTATCGGCTAAAGTTGACAGACGCTCCGACAAGAATTACTCTGCAAAAGAACAAGATGATTTGTGTTCTGTTGCGGCTAGCTTTGGAGGCCCTGATGCAGTACCTCACCTGGGGAAGCTGTATCACTTGCCAAACCTCTGAGGCTCATGCGAACTTTCCATGAGGCTTGCGATTCAAAATGGCCACAGCCTATCAGGCCTTGGCAGCAGTGGTGGGAAAGAAATGGAAAGAATGTGTGAGGAAAAACACGGGACCAGAGTGAGAGTTAGGCGTTTTCATGGAACATTTTGGACTCCACTTGCTTCGACAGCAGGTTTCTCTAACATGAGATGGTGGAATATGGTGGAACCATGGACCTATGGACCTTTCTGCGCAACGGCCGCAACGGCCGCGGTTCTTGCTGGTGCTTGACGCATCTTGACGCCAGGTTGCTCTATGAGGGTCAGGCGCACTACAATTCCCTGGCTCCTCGCAGTGATGTGCCCAGCGAAGCCGCGAAGCCCCACTTTGGGAAGCCGTCGGATTTCAGCGATGCAGCGATGGCACCAAGGCGGTCTGCGGCCGATCCTCCAGCTACGCCCAGGGGAGATGGAGGACTCATCGGCCCATGACAGAGTAGACTCGACAGTTTTGATTAACTTAAACAAATTTAAATCATCTTCTGCCGTGAAGATTTCATTGGAAGCAGACCTGACAGACAAAAGATCAGACAACTGTGTAAATCAAAAACGAGGTGACACAGATGAATGATCAAGTTTGTGTTCAACCAGGTTGGTTGATGCTGGTTGTGTGCACTTTCAGAAACATAGATGCCTCGGCGCAACCTTGTGAGGCTAAGTCGTCTAAGTGCCGGGTATACCGGTATACATGATACTGTACTAAACAATGTCACAAAGCACATCCATCATTAGTGACATCAGTTGCGAAATTACAATTCCCTGCTTCCAGGATGCTGCTATTAGCAGATCTCGACGGCGGAATGAGGCAAGCTGCACCTCTGTGGTTTAGCTGTGCGCTGCGGCTATGTCAATGGTATATGAAGATATCATAAGATCTATGATGTATGTATATATGTATATATATACACATACATATGATGTACACACATATATATATATATTATATTATATACATGTAAATATAACATGTACATATGTATATGTATATATATACATATATATATATTTATGTATACATGTATATCTATTTTTATACGGATATAGTATAGCAGGCCGTGGACCCAATGGAACCCATCATGGCAGTCTGCAGACCTTGGAGCTGAGGCTGGCTTGCGACGTCCTGGAGCCAAGGAGCAGGATGCGCAACTTACAGAACAGGAGGCGCCAAGGGCCCAGCTGTAAGCAATTTGTAGTTACTGTATGTTAATGTCATGAAGAAAAAGAGCCGAACCCATCTGAAAGCACGATCCTCGACAAGGGAAATCAACTATAAAGTACTATTACGAAAGCCAGCTAGCTGGCTAGTTGCTGTTTGCGAACGAAGTGAGAATAGGGGGTGTGGGGGGGGTGGTTGCCGAAAGGGAACGAAATCTCGCCGTGCCCCTGTGTTGAGCGCGAGAAAACATTTTGCTGGATTATGTACCACTAGGCAATTTGCTGACGGTGGGGTATCGATTCCCCCTAGGTCCGCCTTTTTGGTGGCCGGAGAGACCATGAGGATGTATTGGAACACAATGAAACTGCAGGAAAACATGACAACGATCGAGGAAATCGTACAAAATCCCCTGGAAAACGGACGAAAACGGAGCGAATGCTAGGAACAAACCATGGAAAATCCCTTGGACAATGGAGGAAACCGGAGCGAATGCTAGGCGCAAACCATGACGATGCAGTAAACATGCTGGAAAAACAGAGTGAAAGTGCAGGAAAATGTAAAAACAACGAGAGGAAATGGTGCAAAAAGGATCGGAAAATGAAGGAGTCAGGTAAAACTCTTGGATTAATATTAATATTGAAAAGGTATGAAAATGCAGGAAACCAGAGGAAATGGTGCAAAAACCTATGGAGGAAAGAGGTGAAAATGATAGGAAACATGTAGTAAAAAAATGCTGGACAAAACATATTGAAACCCCACGAAGAGGATGTATTGGAAAATACAATGAAACTTGAGGAAAGCATGATAACGATCAGAGGAAAATGCTAGGAACAAACCATGCAAAATCTGTTGGAACATGGAGGAAACCGGAGTGACTGCTAGGAACAAACTATGACGATGCAGTAAACATGTTGGAAAAAGACAGTGAAAGTGCAGGAAAATGCGATAACAACCAGAGGAAATGGTGCAAAAACGATCGGAAAAATCACGGAGATGGGTAAAACTCTTGGAAAAATACATTGAAAATGCAGCAAACCAGAGGAAATGGTGCAAAAAGGAGACGGGCAAGAATCTTGGAAAAATAGATTAAAAATGCATGAATAGACTGAAAACCCACGAAGAGGATATAGAAACTGCAGGAAAACATGATAACAATCAGAGGAAATCGTGCAAAATCCACTGGAAAATGCTGGAAAGATACAGTGAAGGAAAATGTGCTAACAACCTGGCAGGAAAATGTGATAACAACCAGAATAAAGGGTGCAAAATCTGTTGGAACATGGAGGAAACCGGAGCAACTGCTAGGAACAAACGACGATGCAGTAAACATGCTGGAAAAATACAGTGAAAGTGCAGGAAAATGCGATAACAACCAGAGGAAATGGTGCAAAAACGATTGGAAACTGAAGGAGACGGGTAAAACTCTTTGAAAAATATATTGAAAATGCATGAAATGCAGGAAACGAGAGGAAATGGTACAAAAAGCCATAGAGGAAAGC